AGGAGACGACTTGTTTAGCATTAATTAGCTCTGAACAGTAACAATAAGGCATCTTTCCACAAGTAGCCCTGTTAAGTTGTGGGTGAACATATCAGACGACACAGCAATTCTTCAGACAGCTCTTGTTTATTCACAGAACAGAACTGAACTGAAGGGTTCAGCCAACCTGCTTATATAGAGCTCAACTACATGGCAACAGTAACAACTTTCTGTAACTATCCAATCACTGAACGTCACTTTCAATTCCTTATTTGCATATGCGGACCTGAGTGAAAACTATCTACAGTATCCCCCTGCTGGCCCAGGGTGAGAACTTCAGTACATAACAACCCCTACCCCTTCTCATTGGATTAAGTCTAAATTGACATTTTGCAGGAAATCTATTTCCTTACTCCCTGCCACAAGGGCACCATCATCTCCTGCTTGTGAGTCCCGATTGGCCAGAGATCCCTCGTGACCTCCTGGCCCCTGTGCAGCAGGAAACTTGCACCAATGTGCCTCGCAATGACTCGGTGCTTGAGTGAATTAGCTTCCAAGGTCCTCTTCTTCGATGCAATCATTTCTCTGTTGCTTCCAGGTGACCTGCTCACTGAGCATTCATCCTGAGGTGCCCTCCACACACATTTCTCAGTTGTCAGGGACCGTGCTGAGGAGGGCTGCACTGAGGAAGAATAGTGGGAGTCATTGACCGTACACCCATATACAGCCCACGTCTTCAGCGCTTGAATGGGCTGGGTGTCGGAAGCACCTTCTTTGACCTTCTGATCACAGGAACCCAGGAACAACAGCACAGCATTCCCCTGGAACAGGTCCTGGTGCAGTGGACTCACATTTGCTACTGTGAGCACTTCAAAAGCAGCAGAGAAATGGAAACAAAACTGTAAAGGTTTCGTTGCATACCTAATTTTATTTCTACTGATTAAACAAATAAAAGAACATAACAAACATGTACGAGAGATTCAGCTCTCTCATACTGCCATCTAGTCTCTAGACAGACGGGCATAATGCTAGGGACGGAAGTCTGGAAGAGTGGTTTCCACCCCCTCCTTTCTCTGAGACAGAAAGTAAAACAAACATGATCTGGTGATCTTTGCAATGGGAGGGATGAAAATACTGACAGTCATCCCCTACCCCAACCCTGATCCTGAATCTTCCCAGGAGCAGGAGGACAGCACAGATTCGGAACAGTGGTTTGCAGAGGGGCACAGTTCAGAAGGCAGAAGCTGGGAAATACTGGATGGGGAACAGCTAGCAGAAGAAACACTAGCAGAGAAAGAGAGTTAACAGATTCACAGTCTCTGGATAGCATCCACCCCTCCTTCTCCAGAGTCACGGAGAGCTCAGAAAGTGTCAGAACAGAAAGCACAGAGGTTACAAGCTCAGATTACAAGAGGTAGAAGTGACGTAGATTAATAGGGAGAAGGGAGTGTCCCTTAATTGGGAGCACCGCCATTTCTAGGAGATGTGCTCTTTGTTCTCTCGCTGTGATTATTAAAGATTCTAACTGGTAAGCTGTTCCTTTCATTTGATCTTCCTATCTACTGCCACGGAGGGGTGGAAGCAGATTCTCCGAAGCCTGACACCAGTAAAGGTAAAAGGTAAAGGACCCCTGGACGGTTAAGTCCAGTCAAAGGTGACTATGGGGTTGTGGCACTTTCAGGCTAAGGGAGCTGGCATTTGTCCACAGACAGCTTTCTGGGTCATGTGGCCAGCATGACTAAGCCGCTTCTGGCGCAACGGAACACCGTGATGGAAACCAGAACGCACAGAAAAACTGTTTACCTTCCCGCCACAGTGGTGCCTCTTTATCTACTTGCACTGGCGTGCTTTCTTGCTAGGTTGGCAAGAGCTGGGACAGAGCAACAGGATCACACCTTGTAGCAAATATTTTAGCAATGGTACCAACTTAAATGGAGTTAAAGGATTGACAGACACAGCAATTGGAGAAAAAGAAGGTGAGGTTTTATTGCTGAGCAATAATGGACCCAGCTGGAATCCTTTCCAAAAGACTGTGACCCAGAGCATCGAAGTTCTGGGGTTATATACCTGAGTACAGCTGTAGCACCCTGCTTGTGGTTTACGCTTAGCTGGAATGAAATATTCAACGCAGCAATAGAGAAATTAAAATAATAATTTATTTGTCAGACAAATAAATGAGAGACACAGTGGTATATGGTTACCAAAGCTCTGCCCACTCCAGCCCTGATGGCCAGCACTTATATTTCCTCAGCCCAGCCCCCTTGCTCCTCCTTTGGCTGCCTCTGTCCAATCAGCCTGGTTGAAATTCCTATTGACTGTTTGCTAGAACCAATCATAAAAGATACACCCATTTCCTATTACTTTTTATGGGAGACAAAGAGCTATATTTCCTTCTATCCATAAATGGCAGACAAGTAGCCATATATCTTACATTTGCCTCGACAAGGCACCTTAATTACCAGATAACCTTTTGCTCCTGTTGCCCCTTTATTCCAAAACAAATGGCTAAAACAGATGGCTCATGGTATTAAATTCTGTCTAAACAGAGATCTTGGGTTTACATTCTAACACATCATCAATGAAATAAGGATCTAACATAAGAATCTAACATTTCTTACTTTCTAAATCCTTTGCATAATTACATTTAAGCCAACAAATCTCATACATTAACATAGATAGCTTTTTAGAAGAAAAGGCCTTTGCAAAGTAAAAAAGGAACTCAGTAGAAAACAGCTTCAAAAGCAGCCTCTTTAGTTTACAACCCCCTTTCCCCAGCCAGCTGCTTCTCCCGTTAGCTCTTGCCCTTTAACCTTAGGAAAATATGACTAGAGTCTGATGGGAGGCACATAGTATTATTTTCTGTTCTTACTATTTACCAACTCTTAATTAGTGTTTTTGCAGCTTGATTATATTCTGTAATATGTAGGGTCACTGTAACCTTTGCTCCCAGCCTGTATTTCCCTTTTACAACTTTGAGAAACTTGTCTCCTGGTACTGCTATAAATCAGGGGGGCCCTGTTCAGGAAGATAAACAGCTGCCAGAGTACTTAGCCAGCTGGTTTCTGCCTGGCATGAAACATACAAACATTTGCAAATATATTTTTAAGCTCATTTTAAAATACAGGCCTTGATCAGATGCCTCACAGCATCATAGATCATGACACAATCAAATACATTCGCGAACGCCAGCAAAAACAAGCAAATGAGCGCATTCGGCCAGGCTCCTGACCGTGTCAAGAGTTCTACCTTCAGCTTCTGCTTGCTTAGTCTGTACATGCAGTCCGACCTTTCCCCCAGATTTAACAGTGCAAGGAGGAACTTCTTAACTGTACTCCCCTGCAACATCTGTTCATTTAAGGACATTGTGGTCGGGACCTTCCTGTTTCGTGTACAGACTGAGTCTGGACAAGAGGGGGGAGATGTACCAGCATCTCCTGATTTATAGCTTCATCTTTGTAGAGACTAAGAAGGGACTGGGGCAAGGTTCATTCTGTAAACTTGCAGTTTCAAGCAGTTTAGCTTTTAGCCTAGGCAGAAGCTTCTATGATCCAAATGGATTCTAAAGTCATTGTAAACTCTGGTTATGTGTGAATATATGTGAATATATTGATAACTGATAACTGGATAATTGATTATATGAATAGCATAAAGGTAAAATTCCTCCTGACCCTGCTTCAACCTCATCGCAGGGATTTGAACTGCCGACCTTCTGATCGGTAAGTCCAAGAGGCTCAGTGGTTTAGGCCACAGCACCACCCACTTCCCCATTTCCCAAGAACCTCACAGGAGTCCCTGCGATTGCCACACCACTAGTTTGCCTCATTTTCCTTCTTTTCTTCCAAGTTCCTCTTTTGTAAATTTTCAGCCACTGTACCTACGCGAAAGGGTCATGTCTCCGCTGGTGAAGCGCTGCGGCTCACTGGTAGACCAGCTGCTTTCAGAAAGTCCAATATTCAATATCTGGCATCTCCAGATAGGGCTGGGAGGGACTCTGATCGAAAAACCCCTGGAGATCCCCTGCAGGTCTTTGTAATTGACATGGGCAAAAGCCCACTCGAGGTTCGGGCATGGCCGAGTCACTTCGTGCCAGCAATGGCGAGACACAGCCAGGAAGCACTTCAAACAGACCAATTCAGATTTTGTTTCTACGGCAGCAGAATGGTAACAGCTTGTCAGGCAAAACAGGAAAGCTTGTTCAGAGCTACACTCCGAATTGAATTGTTGCAGACCCTTTTATACATGCAAGTAAACAAGAGAATTTTTCCTATAGTCTATCTGTTAACACGACGACGCCTTAGCTAACCACTAAGAACATCCACCCGCTAACCACATCCTATAGAAATCTTTCACAACCACAATAAATGCAGAACCAGCAAGTTCTTGTTTTTAGCACTTGACTTAAGCCTGTGTCACTGGAGTCAGAGGAAGGAAGGAAATGAACATACACTTAGTAACAGTGTCACATGAAGAGTCGCGTCACTTTTTTGGTCATTGTCTGCAATGACTTAGTTGGATCGGAGATGAGTGGATAAAAACCCAGCCCTCCTCACACTGCAAAAGCAGTGCTACTTTGCCAAACAACCTCTCCTATTGTGCCTACAAGCTATTTTCCTCCTGTTTATAAAGACAAGGAAACACAACATTTATGGCCAGTTGGATCCTTGTTCATTTAAGCTTAAGCAGAGAAAAGTAGTTATGGATGCACTACGGAACATTAAGCAGTAATTTGGAGGGCAGGAGGACAAGAGACAAAATTAGCTCGTGCGACGGCATCCTTTAAGAGAGGTTAAGCTGGCTGACTTCACCGAGACTGTTGGTGCATAGCGACGAAGCGCTTTCTCTTCTGCATAAAAAGATCATCACCATCATTGCCGTAAGCATTTAAACCATCCTTTCTCAGTGCAGAACACTTTGCATGCACGGTTAAAGTAATAAGAAAATAAGAAGAGCTCTGCAGGATCAGACCAAAGACCCCATCGAGTCCAGAATCCTGTTCTCAACTTGGACCACCAGAGCACCATATGAAGCCCACAAGAGGACCTCAGTACAAAGAAAAAGGTAAAGCAGAACCCTAGCAACTGGGGACCCCTCCAGACTGGTGATTTTCTGCAAGTTTGTTCTGCAGTATATCTATAGTACACAAAGGGATGCGAGTGGCGCTGTGGTCTAAACCACTGAGCCTCTTGGACTTGTGGATCGGAAGGTCGGCAGTTCGAATGCCTGCAACAGGGTGAGCTCCCATTGCTCTGTCTCAGCTCCTGCCAACCTAGCAGTTCGAAAGCACACCACTGCAAGTAGATAAATAGGTACCACTCCAGGGGGAAGGTAAAAGGCGTTTGCGTGTGGTTTGGTCATGCTGGGCAGATGACCCGGAAAGCTTTCTGTGGACAAATGCTGGCTCCCTCGGCCTGAAAGCGAGATGAGCGCCGCAACCCCATAGTCGCCTTTGACTGGACTTAACAGTCCAGGGGGGTCCTTTACCTTTTTTATATTTATAGTACATTAGTGGTAGATTTTACTGGATTGTCCAGGCATCAGTCTGCTTTATTTCTGTAACTATCCAATCACTGAACGCCACTTTCAATTCCTTATTTGCATATGCGGACCTGAGTGAAAACTATCTACAGTAGCCCCCTGCTGGCCCAAGGTGAGAACTTCAGTACATAACAAAACCTTTTGAGATTTTGCAAAGCTCAACAATTTCTGTGTCCGGATTTTCACTTTTTGAAACATGGCAACCCTAGTAACGTAATTATTTTATTTTTCTTGTAGTCAGCTGTAACACAAGCTTAAGAGAGAAACAAAGAAGAAAAAGCGTCCCAGATAGAAACTCTTTCGCAGGAATGCCAGTGGATGGAATAGTGTCAATAGCAACATTGTACTCAGTAGGGCTGACTTCTGAGTAGATACACATAGGATTTCCGTGTCAGGCTGTGCTTTAAAAATTCACTGTAACATTGTAGCCTGCTGTGGTTTGTACGAGCGAGAATCCAAGGTCAGCTTCTTATATTTACACAACAGAGAAAGGCAGCAGTAAAACCTGGAGGGGGATAATAATGGCAAAATCATAAGTCATAGATCATAAATTGTGGTTCCTTTCAGGAATTCTGACTCAATCTGAAATTGCTTCTTCAAGGACCTATACCTTTGCTTGGAGACAGGTAAAAGCGTTTTAATAAATTTTTAAAAATCAGCATTTGCCACTCACTTAGGGGATGAAGTTCTGTTTCTATGCCCCTGCTGTGATAAGTTCTTAAAAAGCAAAGGTTAACAAATCTCTTATCTTGTTTACTATCCTCTGTGACCAAGTAGATAAACTGCTTGCTTTTATTAGAATGGCAGGTTATAAACTTGAGGACAAGGCTGAAAGTTTCAGGTCAAAATCCTGTGTAAACTTATCTAAGAGTTAGCAGGAAGTGGGACTCACTTCTGAGAAAAACACACATACGGTAGGATTGGTGCTGTAGATTTCAACTCCTACTTATTTACTTCATTACTTCTTTTTAGAGACTGTAAATTGGAATGATCAGGTAACAGAAAAGCAAGCAGAAAATGGGGAGGAAAGAAAAGCAGAAAACCGAACATATATAGTGAGTTGTTGCGATGGCTGAGAAGTTAATTTAGAACCCGAGGGTTGCAAAAAAAGGGGGCAGAAGGTTGCAACAGATTATTATGCTAAATGGGATGTGTTTAATCTGTGTATGAGAGAGCAGGTCGCTTTGTTGGAAATGTCAAGAGGCGTAATTAAGATGTCGGGACAAGGTCTAAAACGGGCATGGAAATGTGCAGCTCCATTTAAAAAGTTTTGTTTTCATGAAAGAGAGCCGGCGGTGGTGGAGTGCTTAAAGAGTGTCAGACTAAGACCTGGGAGGGACCAGGGTTCAAATCCCCCACGTAGCTATGATGCTCACTGCATACCCTACAGCATTTCTCCAATGAAAATAGGGACGTCCTAAGGGAAAGTGGGACATTCTAGGATCAAATAAGAAACCTGGAAAGCTTCTGTAAATCCAGGACTCTCCCTGGAAAATAGGGATACTTGGGAGGATCTGTCACTGGGTGTGACCTTGGTCCAGTCGCTGCTTCTCTTGGCCTAACCTACCTCACAGGTTCAGGTGGATAGCCGTGTTCATCTGTCATAGTCATAATAAATAATATAAAAGATGAAAAATCATTTTTAATAATTCCAGTGGCACCTTAAAGATCAACTAAATATAAGCTTTCAAGGTATGAGCTTTCGTGTGTAATACACACTTGGTCAGATGCAAGGAACAAGTCATCACCAAATTTAAAGTGATTGTGGATAAGGACAAGTGGCAGAGTACTGAGTACAGCAAACCTTTTTGGAACTAAAATACCCACCTGATGAAGTTAAAAAAAGGATCAACAAAGCCAGACGGATACCCAGAGAGACCTTGCTGCAAGGCAGACCCAAAAGAGAAAACAATAGAACACCACTAGTAATCACATACAGCTCTCAAGTTAAAACCGTTCAACGCATCATCAGAGATTTGCAACATCTCTTAGATAATGACAGCTCTTTTCCCAAGCTCTGGGAGGAAAGCCACCCAATCTTAAACAGCTCCTCACATACAACAATCAGACTTAACATGGACACTGGCACAAGAGCCTGCAATAAATCTAGATGCCAACTTTGCTGCCACATACACCTGGACAGCATCATTATTGGCCCCAATAACATCAAACATACCATCTCAGGCCTATTTAATTGTTCATCTTTTAACGTTATATATGCTGTCAAATGTCAACAGTGCCCTTCAGCTCTCTATATTGGACAAACAGGACAAACTTTATGCCAAAGGATAAAAGGTAAAGGTAAAGGACCCCTGGCAGTTAAGTCCAGTCGCGAACGACTCTGCAGCACTCATCTTGCTTTACTGGCCGCTTCCGGCGAACCAGAGCAGCACACGGAAATGCCGTTTACCTTCCCGCCAGAGCCGTACCTATTTATCTACTTGCACTTTGACATGCTTTCGAACTGCTGGGTTGGCAGGAGCTGGGACCGAGCAACAAGAGCTCACCCTGTCCCAGGGATTCGAACCGCTGACCTTCCGATCGGCAAGCCCTAGGCTCAGTGGTTTAGACCACAGCGCTACCCGCCAAAGGATAAATGGGCATAAATCTGACACCAGGAATCATAAAACAAACCAATAGGAGAGCATTTCAATCTCCCAGGACATTCTGTGCAGGATCTTAAGAGTGGCTGTCCTATTGCAAAAGAATTTTAGAAATACACTTGAAAGAGAAGTTGCTGAATTACAACTCATTACCAAACTAAAAACTTTGGAGAGACCTGGTCTGAATAGAGATATTAGAGTTATGTCCCACTATACATACTAAAAGTAATTTTGGTTATCTATCCCTTTAAAAATCCCTTGCCCTTCCCTGCGGAACCAACTGCCATAACAGTCATCAACAGCTTTAAGGTTGAAGCGGCATCTAACGAAGTGTGTATTACTTTGAAAGCTTATATTTAGTTGGAATTATTTAAAAAGATTTTTACATCTTTTATCTTGTTATTTATTCTGACTACCTCACAGGGTTGTCATGGGAATGAAATGAGGAGGGAGAAAACCACATATGCAGAGAATTGCCAGTGTGTTTATAAGCAAAACAAGAGTGCTCTTTATTTGCCAAGTTGGGTCCCATTCATCTCCAAGCCCATTTCGCACGTTCCAGGTCAGGAAATTTGAATTGGCTCCAAAGGATTGACGTGACTTTAAGTCGGTTCGCTTGAATAAATCTTGGCTCCTCTCTACCCCCTGGGCAACAGTAGCCACTGCCGGCCCTCTGCTGTGGACTTCTGCAGTGCATACGTGTTCCCCACGTTCACACGTTACACGCGTATGAACAAGCCGAGGAAACCCCGCGTCTCAGTCCCGCCCACCCCCTCTCCGAAGAAGGTGCTGCTCTTTCTGGGCTGTCTCCCGCTCCAGATAAATTACAGCCTGCGCTCGCCGCTGATTGGCTAAGGCGCTTGAGCGAGGAGGAGGAGGAGGAGGAGGGCGTGGCAAGGCAGGATACGACAGCTCCTGATTGGCGGAGCGGACGTTCCCCCCGGGCAAGACGAGGCTCAGCAAATAGCCAACGCTTTTAGCGAGGCGAGGATAGGAGAAGGATGCCTCGGCTTCTGATTGGGCAGAGAGAATAATTGCTTGATGGTCTCCTCGCTTTAAGCGCCTGCGCGGTTAATTCCTCCGGTTGCTGCCCTTACCCCTCTTCTAACGCCACACGTGCCTTAGAACGATGGCGCCGTGAACGTTCTAACGGCCTCCAACGGCAGACGCGGCGCGAGAGGGCGGGGCGAGGCGAGAGAGAGCGAAAGAGAGCGCGGAGCCTCCGTTGAGCGCCTGCCGCGCCTGCGCAGACTGGTGAGTAAGTGGGGGAGGGGCGGTGTCTGTAGTTTTTTGTTTTGTTTTGTATTTATTTTACCGCGTTTATATCCCAACTTCTTTCGTCCAAGGAGCCCAAGGTGGCGTGCATGGTTTCTTCTCCGTTATTCCCCGTGTTATAAACACTACAACCCTGTGAGGTAGACTAGCCTGAGAGGGAGTGTCACACCCAGTGAGCTTGGTCGATAAATGAAATAATAATGAAGGAAGGTGAGGACAGGTGACCTCACCTGGGCCCGAAGTCACCCCCCACCAAAGCAGGCTCAAAGCTTCTCAAGACTTTTCATTATTTTTTTAAAATAATATTTATTAAAGTTTCAAAGGGAAAAAAATCACATTAATAAAAAAAATTAACAATAAAAAGGAAAAATACAAAGTAGGAAAAAAAAAGAAAAACAGTTAAAAACAATTCCATCTTTTCCTCACTTCTTTTACTTTTACTTGTTTCCCGGACCTCCTCATACCTCCCTCTTTTGTGTTCCAATTCAATTTGTTAATCCAACAATTCCTTTCCCTCCTTTCTAATCCTAATCCCTAGTCTTGATATATTGTAACGTTAGATTTTTACATATTAAAAACCAATTTTTCCATATTCTTTTGTACCTATACAGCTAGAAACCACTTAACTTCAATCCAACATCATTCTAACATTAATTTTGCAATATTTCTGTAAATAGTCTTTAAATTTCTTCCACCGACTCTTCTCCCTGGTCACGGATTCTGCCAGTCATTTCTGCCAATTCCATATAGTCCTTCTCAAAACTTTTCAAAATCATTTTCTCAGCAGCTAAGCATCAGAAACATTCCGCTCTGCTGTAACAAAGGTAGAGAACAGTCCATTGTTTCTCAGGCCTTTCTCATGTCTTCTGGCCTTGCTAAAGAACCACATTGCAACTTGCTTTCTGTCCGGGAACCATGCCAGAACAAGAGATTGAAACATATCTGAACATGCTGAAAACCCCCTCGGCTTCTCATTCCCCCTTTCCTGGGAAGAGTGGTACCTCGCAAGACGAATGCCTCGCAAGACGGAAAACTCGCAAAACGAAAGGGTTTTTGGGTTTTTGAGTTGCTTCGCAAGACAGAAACGTCTTGCAAGTTTGTTTCCTTTTTCTTAAGACCGTTAATACAGTTGCGACTTGACTTCGAGGAGCAACTCATAGCACGCGGTGTGGTAGCCTTTTTTGAGGTTTTTGAAGACTTTGGTGATTTTTGAAGCTTTTCCAAAACTTTTCCGACACCATGCTTCGCAAGACGAAAAAAACCGCAAGACGAAAAAACTCGCAGAACGAATTAATTTCGTCTTGCGAGGCACCACTGTAGTCCCAAGACAGCTTTCTGTACATGCTCAGGAACCTCAACATGAGGCAGGACTCCTGAGGGAGGAGAAAGGAGGAGGGAACTGGAAAGGGGTATATATGCTTGTGCACATGATTGTGAACTCGTGCATGCTTTTTGTGACTTATCACACTTGCTCCTTCTACCAGTTCATGGATGGTAGAAATAAAAGCCTTTTCTCCGAAACTATTCCTTGAGTGTCTGTTGACTCCCACTTCCCTTTCCCAGGCGCAATATTTTTACCACCCGAGGGCAAAGCCTCATAAGGCTACAATATGTAAGTTTGTTCTGGGTATAAGCTTTGTATAAGAACAAACTTAGTTGGTCTCTAAGGTGCTACTGGACAGTTTTTAAATTTATTTTGACTGCGTCAGACCAACACAGCTACCTAACTGAATCTGAAATAATGTGTGTGTATATATACATAAATGATGGGAAGTTCTGCTTCTGCACATGAGTCCTCATCCACCCTAAAAGGTTCAGTTCACATTGAGTTCATGAAACATCATACCCTGACCTGTTCTTAATGCATGGTTGACCACATCTACGGAATGCGATTGTTATGTTCTTTTAAGTTTTGCAATATCAATCACTAGTAATAGTTTAATAAGGAGGTTTTCATACCTGTCTAACCATGTGTTCCCTTTCCAAACCTTTAACCTATTGATGATTAATGCCCTTGCATTGTATTTGTGTTAACCAATCAGCAACAAGCACATATGTGGCAATGCTGTAATATTCAATAAAAGGGACTCACTGAGACATGCTCGGCAGATGCCTCCCATATGACACTTGTCACTCGTCTGTCGTTTATTTCAACCCAACACATAAACATATACAAATATATTTCTAGGGAGGGAAAATACGCTTCAGGTGGTAATAGAAATAATTATCATTATTTATTACCCAACCCTTTACCTTAAGATCCTGGTTACATGTGTAAGTATGCAATGTAGTCAAGTTTTATTAGTATTTGCCGCTAATTATTGTCATTCACAATAATTGGCATAAGACTCTTAAATGTGTAATGTGTAGATTGGAGCCAGGTGGGAAATGGTTGCTCCAGGAAGACGGGAATAAACCCCCCGAAATGGAAATAGACAATATTTTTATTAATTGAATTGATTTGCCGCCCTATACCCTGAGGCCTCAGGGTAGTTCACAGAACAAAATCAAAACATAAAACCACAGAATCTACAATCGAAATAAAAGCAACAACCCAGTGCCACCCCCACCCCCCGTATTTAAGACCTTCATTTAGCTTCCATGGATATACAGTTAGATATAAAAGGTTTAAAACTCAACAGATTGTGGATCCGTTCAGATAATGTGTAGGTAAATAGGTGATGATGTTCCTGTTTATACTGCATGCATTACATTTAATGTTTGTTTATTGCAGGGGACTCTGCAATAAAACTGGCAGTAATCTGGGAGGTTCAGGTCAAAGTTGCTGAGCTTTTTTTAGGAAGGAAAGTCCCATTTTTATGGGGTCCAGGACAGAAATGTTCAACTTTTTTTTGGAGGAGCAAAAGCTGTTGAGCTTCATTGGTGGGAGCCAGTGATCTACCTGTTGGACGTGCCTGGTTTATTCCATTTATATCCTACCTTTTCCCCCTCAAGGTGGCATGCACAGTTATGGGTGATCATTTGTAAATAGCGTAGTATAGCCAGTCTATGCTTCCTTGCATGTACCGTTCACTTGTCCAGAACATGCACATTCCATTCCATTAGCTCTTTGATCAACACAGTTCATTATTAGTTCATCAACAGCATCCATTTTGTGGTGGTGGTCTTCAGCCATTTTAGGTCCATTCAAATAATACCATTCATTACAAAAGTAAGGCCTGGCAGCTTCTGGGTAGACTACATCAGTTTATTTACAGGAGGTGATAATGAAACGCCTGTGTTTGATAGATAAGAATATTATTCTTAGGATATTTTGCTTGAGCAAAAAGGCATAAATTCACATTATTTCTTATTGGCCAAGATGTTATTTGAGAGAATTCGCATTGACATTTTTTAAAACACACACACGTAATATCATTTATTTTTAGCACTATAGAGACCAAATTGGAATTGAATGAGATTGATGTAGCTTGCAGAACCTGGAGAGAGCTATTAAAGAATGTGTATTGCAGGTGGGAGAGATCTGGAGCAGGTATTGGGAATATCAATACCAGATGACCTGTGGGGGGTCAGGTTACCCCAGTTTCAAGTACCATTTAACAACCTGGCCTTTGCTTTGGTTTTATAGGGAGATACTCACTTTTATTCAGATATTTGCAACACACACAAGTGCCTGTATTGTTTTATCACGTTCCTCAAATATACTGTATAAACTACAGATGCTAGGATAGTGAACTGGTGTCGTTAATTTACTAATATGTGTCCTCCCAAAGGAGCCTGGAATGGCAAGCAACAAGTGATAAAACAACACAAATGCCTTTAAAACAATTGCAGCACAGGTGCAGACTGTCAGGATTTAGTCAAGTAAGTCCTGTACAGTGGTACCTCAGGTTACATACGCTTCAGGTTACAGACTCCGCTAACCAGAAATAGTGCTTCAGGTTAAGAACTTTGCTTCAGGATGAGAACAGAAATCGTGCTCCGGCGGTGCAGCAGCAGCAGGAGGCCCCATTAGCTAAAGTGGTGCTTCAGGTTAAGAACAGTTTCAGGTTAAGTACGGACCTCCGGAACGAATTAAGTACTTAACCTGAAGTACCACTGTAATTGAAATTGGTAGGGTTACGTTTCTAATTCGTCCTTTTCTTCTTGGGAGTAGTTTGGGGGAGCGTGAGGAAGCAAATACTGGTTTTGGGAAAATCTAGGGCCCAAAGGAATTTAATAATAATAATAATAATTTTTATTTTTACCCCACCCTCCCCAGCCAAGGCCGGGCTCAGGGCGGCTAACAAGCAATAATAAAAACAAGTTGAATGAATACAACTTAAAAACAAGATTAAAATACAACAATTAAAATATTGAAACAGTAAAATGCAGCCTCATCAAAATTATTCTCAGCTGCTTGGGTTTTAATAGCCCTATGAAGTTCTCAAGGTCACACCCATTCTTAATTGGTGATAACTTGCAGCTGGGCTTGTTTCCAGCTATCATCTCCTGAGTAGTTCTGGAAGAGTCATGAGTCCCACCCCCCGCTTTTGGATTGGTGGGGGCATAAAGATGGGCTGTCCCCTTTCCAACATGATGTAGAACATATTTCGCCTTGCAGTGTGTTGGCCTGTTGCCTGGTCACTAGATTGGGACGTGCCAAGCCCGTCTCTCGGGGAGCAGGAAGTGCCAGCCTTGGTAAAAGAAGTGCATGGTAAGTTTAGCTAGCAAAGTCTTGATTATTATTATTTTATTGTGTGGTGGTTCTGTAATTCCAATGTTTCAAACTTCTAATTTGTCTTGTTTTGTGGAAATTCTACCTGTGCAATGGAGTAGAGCAGTGGTTCACAAAGTGGGTGGTGCGCCCCCGCCCCCCCGCGTGGTATGACCTAGGTAGGGGTAAATGACTCTGAAAAGCTGACAAAATTGTCCAGTACCACCTTAAAGACCAACTAAGTATGTTCTGGGTATAAGCTTTCATGTGCATGCACACTTCTTCAGACAGGTAAAATGGATTAATCCGTTCCAGACTTTTAAAAACAACCCCTAAAACAACAATTTAACATGAATTTTACTATCTAATGAAGCCACTGATCCATAAAATGAAAGCAATAATCGATGTACTGTACTATAAAATAAATAAGACAGTATTGTAGATGATAAAAAAATAAATAAATCTTTCTTGCACTGATGATAGTTTGTTTGGATGGGGGGCTTTTATCCATTTCCACAGTCACAATCAATCAGTCAGTAGCTGAACTGGGTTCCACACAGTTACAAAAACAAGTTGACCAAAAAAGCCGCAAAAACAAAAGTGCCAAACTTAATCCCTTCCGGAAGTCCGTTTGACTTCCGAAATGTTCAAAAACCAAGGCGCAGCTTCTGATTGGTGCAGGCGCCCCAAAACAATAACCAACAATCACATCGGACGTTCGGCTTCCAAAAAATGTTCAAAAGCTGGAGCACTTATGTCCGAGTTTTTGGCATTTGGGAACCAAGGTGCCACTGTAATCCTTTTTATAGGGTAGAGTAGGTTAAGGGGCACTGGGGGTGAGTTTATAAACCAAGGAGTCAGAGGTCAGAAGTTTGGGAGCCAATGGATTACAGGATCTGTGTGGCTGTTCCCCGATAGTTTTCTCTTGCTGTAAAAATCTGTGAATTCATGGAAAAAGACTGTGGTCTTAAATTCAGTGTTCTAGATTGCTGGGTCACCGAGGCTTCTGATATAGAGACTTCTTTTTATTTTATTTGGGATTTGCAAGCAGGATAAGTACTAAGGCACATTCCAGCTCCTGAGAAGCCCTGGTTGCTAAAGTTTTGAAATTGTACCCCTACTGGTCTTTAAGTCTGGGTGGTGGCAGTATTTATCTTTTGACTAAGTGGGCATTGGGACCGATATTTTTATATCTCACAAGTGGGGATTTGAACCCTCCCAGTTCCTAGTTGCACACACTCGAATCGCTGCACCACACTGGCTTCCTAGAGGAGTACTGCTATGGGATTACTCTTATCAATTAAGCAGGTAAATAAATATAGTTTTTCTGGTTCTGTTCTGTGGAACGCTGTTCCACCAGAGACTTAGTAAGCATCCTAGCTGTTGACTTTCAGGCATCTCTTAAAGACCTTTTGATGTCAACAGGCCCTTGGTGCTGTTTTGATTTTTGGTTAGCCAGTCTCCTTAATGGTTATCTGTAGTTTTATTTTTTAACATGGGGTAGTATGTTTTTACATTGTGCGCCACCTTTATATTTTATGATGTAGCAGGGTGGAGAAATAAATAAAGATTGGAATGGCAGCCACCACCAGAGAGCCAGAATTGTTTGAGAATTATCCTGGTTGTGGTGAACATTTATACTTTGTTGTTTGTTTGTTTACTTAATGGTGAAGGCCTCTAGGAGAGTGTACAGGAGGGTTTGGGCAGCCTAGTGTCCTACATGTTTTGGGATTTCCATCAGCATATCGGAAGATTGATTGTAATTCGAAGAAGTGTAGTTGGCCTGGCTCTATTAATCCTTCATATCACTGTTAAATGAAGGCTGTTAATAAAACAGACAACCCCTCTTTCTCTCTCAGGCCTGATAGCTGCTTACATTTGCCCGACCTGAATTCCTAACGGAAGCCCCTCATAGCTGCCGAGCTTGCATGCCAGAGGCATGGGCCTCCCTTGTTTAGAGATAACGTGGCTGTAATATATTGGGAGGACTCCAGGATTAAATGCATTTTAGGCACGCAGCCCGAACCATGGGATCTTAATGTCTGGTGTGATTAATTTGGCAATTGGATTTTGCAATTGCGCCTAATGCATATAAACCTCTAGAATTTGACCCAGAATTTGAGCCTCAACACAAACCAGGAACAGCAATGCTGTTGGATTGGCTAGACTGGGGTCTTTCTCTTGGCTGTTGTCTCTGGAGCTCCTGGAAGCTGAATTGAAGCGGGTGCCATCTGTTCTCTGGGTATGATGTTGTACTTCTGTATAGGTTGCCTGCTGTTTAATAAACCTTAGACTTTCTCACCCACTTGTGTGTCTTGCGTTTGCTTTTGAACCCCTGAAGAAAAAGAACCCCCTTGCCTTTGACAAGACATTAGCCCAAGTATTGGCTAAGAGCACGGTGGGAGTTGTAATCCAACAACATCGGACAGGCACTCAGTTGGGGAATTGTTGGCAAAGTGGATTTATGGGTAGAGAGGGATATGTGCCCTCTCCAGATGCCTTCTTGTAGAGTTGTATCAATTCTCTTCCGTATGGTCTGAATTCGCATTCCCAATTACTTGGTCTGTTCAACCCACAAGCTGAAGTCAATATTAACATACGAAACACAGAAGCCACCAAATGAATTGCCAAATAAGGGAGTCCACTTCTCAAGGTGCTGGTAACTTAATGGTGACTTAGTTTTTCCTAGCAGACCAATGTGTTTCAGCCAAAAGGCTACCTTCAGGGGATTTCTATAAAAGAAACGTAATAGGAATGTTGGTGTAATGCAAACAGTGGGTTAAATTACACAGTGCTTGGGCTCATGTCTTGAGGAGCACCCCCCCCAAAAAAGTCTGGATGTTCAGAGATAAGGTGCCAGGTGCACTGAGTTACCATAGCAACACCAGCAGGGTTGAGTGTATGACTTGCTGAGTCATTCATCCTCCCATTGTTTCAGGAAAAGTAGAGACAGATCTAATAATTTCAAGAGCACTGCTTTCATGATGTCCTGTTTGCATGTCGGGATTTTGCATAGCAGCGTTAGCTAGCATGGTGACGGTGTTAGTTGATCTCTGTATATATGTATCTTCAGAGACCAGAAGAACTGTTTATAGTAGGCAGTAGTGTTTACATTTGTCTTGTGTCGGAGACAAGAAACATTTTGTTACTTTGAACTGCATCGGAGAGGAGCTTTCCCCTTAACTGGGGATTCTGGAAGAAGCTGTTTTGCAGGAGGAGGATATCTCTGAAGACTCTGCTGGGGCTCTGCATGCTCTGAGGTGTGGTGAACTACCAAGTGACTCCCACAAGTAACCAACAAGGAACACCTGCAAAACATAGTATTAATTCCGTATATACAGTGGTACCTCGGTCTAAAAACAGTCCTGTTAATGAACAATTCAGGCAACGCACTCCACAAGACCGGAAGTAGGTGTTCTGGCTAGCGAACTTTGCCCCGGAAGACAGAAGCCGACCGGTGGTGGGAGGCCTCATTGGGGAAAGCACGCCTCAGTTTAAGAACACTTTCGGTGTAAGAATGGACTTCTGGAACGATTTAAGTTCGGAAACGGAGGTACCACTGTATAAACATCCATCAAATAGCTCCAAACTTAAAAAAAAAACAACACCAAGATAAATGTCCAAAAAGGCAAGTTAAAGCATAAGTGGTAACCATGATTTGTTCTTGGCCTGCTGCTCATGGTTTGAGGAAACTAACATGAGCCTGGGTTCAGATGTAATGGCAAGTTTCCAGTTATGGGCACCTTGGTTTTAAGAAGCATATTGATGAGCTGAAACGCTTGTGGAGGATGGTGTGAGAAATGAGGATGTTTCTTTTTCACATAAGCCACAAAAGTACCCAATTCTTACAAGGCCAACCAAGATGATCAAGGGTCTGGATAGCAAGCCTTACAAGGAACGGTTGAGGGGAATTTGGGTATGTTTAGCCTGGGAAAGAGGAGACTGAGGAGATATGATAGCCATCTTCAAATATCGAAAAGGCTGTTGAATGAAACATTGGAGCAAGCTTGTTTTCTCCTGCTTCGGAGAGTAGGACCAGTAATAATGGCTTCAAGTTACAAGAAAGGAGATTCCAACTAAACATCAGGAAGAACATTTTGACAGTAAGAGCTTTTTGACAGTGGAACGGACTTGGGAAGTTGCAGACTCTGCTTCCTTGGAGGTTTTTAAGCAGAGGTTGGATGGCCATTTGTCATGAATGCTTTAGCCGAGATGCCTGCATTTCAAGGGGTTGTATTAGATGACCCTTGGAGTCGCTTGCAACTCCACAGTTCTGTGATTAATAATAGTGTGTGGTGTGCACACAGGCCTCTGATATATTGAACTGACTGCATTTAAATCTGGTGTAGGTTTAAATTAAATGTCGGTTACCTGATTCAAACTTTAATTAGCATCTTAAGGAAAATAATGTTTGATCTCGACTCATAAGATGTAATTATTGTGTTTTAGGGTGCAAGAAATTAATCCAAACATGGATGTCAAAAAGCCCTTGCGTGCCAAAAAGACGATGACTCCAAGCGCCCGAAAGCAAGTGAAGATGCTGCGTGAAATGAAGGCTGTCCAAGCAGCAGAAAAAATGGCAAATAGTACCTCCGTTGTGTATAATCATGTTCATTTAAAAAGGGCTGAAACAAGTGGCTTAAGTCAGAACTCTCTGAAAGAACCTAACCTTCAACCAAAATCAAAAGAAACTCTGTTGCAACCTCCAACATTAAGGGAGCCCCTAACCAATTTAGTTGTTAATTCTGAAATGAAGGCTGTCCAAGGAGCAGAAAAATTGGCAAATGGTACCTCCGTTGTGGATAATCATGTCCACTTAAAAAGGTCTGAAACAAGTGGCTTAAGTCAGAACTCTCTGAAAGAACCTAACCTTCAACCAGAATCGAAAGAAACTCTGTTGCACCCTCCAACATTAAGGGAGCCTGTAACCAATTTAGTTGTTAATTCTGAAATCAGTATTTATAACAGTCGTCGTGAAGGATCCCAAGATCTTCCCTACAAGGTTTGCACTGAAGACTCTGATTTGGAGCAATTTCTGAATGCTGGAGCCTTACAGGATCTACTGTATTATTACCTTCAAAAAGAACCCAGTTCCTCGTCGCATAAGCCGGTGGAAGTACACTTGAACTCTGAGCCGCTTGCCCAGCTTTCTGGCCAGTCGGAACATGAGCTTTCAGTGACTTCTCCTATGCGCGAGATCCCTGCCTTAGAAAAGGTAACTGAAATAAAAGATGAACCACTTGTTAAGCAAACCATGCCAGTATTGGAACAGGAAGGCGACAGATTCCAGTTGCTTGAGAAAAATACTAATTCTTCAGTACGGCCAGGTAATCATTTTTTTAAATTATTGTTTTTACAATCATTAAGATAGTGTATCCTCTCAGGGCAATGTAGAGTAAATGTAACTAAAAGAGCTAAACACAAAGAACGGTAGATAAATTTGAAATTGGGGGGGGGTGGAATACAAAATAGGATACTCATAACAGAGACTCATTCATCCAGCTGGGAGAATCGTTAGAACAAAAATGTCTTTGGTTGTTCCAGAAGGTCAGATAATGGACGCCTGTCTTACCTCATTACGGATGTAGGGCTGGGTGATATATCATCCAAAACCGGCTTGAAGTCCATATTGTGATACTGGCTTCGTAGTTTTTGACCTGACAATACATTATGAATCACGGTGTGTGCGCTATGGAAAAATCAGTGTGGGAAAAACCATGAAGGCTGCCTTGTGTCACCATAGCCACTTCCTGTCCACAATGCTCACTATTCACATGGAATACAGCTCAAGAAATCGTTGCTTAAGCTTTAGAAGACCAGATTTTGTTGCTAAATGGTGGCCACTTGCAAAATTTCCCTCCTGTTGCCTCTTTCCAAGAGTGAGTGTGATGCTAGTTTGAGGTGGTTGCAGAAGACACTGTGCAGTTCATTTTAATCCAACTCTGATTCTATGATTCTAATTGCTTAACTTCAGAGTGTTGGCGTGACTGAGATTACAGTACCATTTCAGGCCCCATTCATTTCTGCAGAAACTAGAAAACTGCAGCCTTCTTTAAAGTTTGAACCCTTCTTACATAACTCTGCTCCAAAGCTTTCAGGGGGGTGGGTAGGTGTTTGCTCTTGGCTTGTATGGGATTTTTTAAAATATAACTTACTGCAAAAGTTGCCTACTTCTTCAAAAACTAGAGCGAAAAACTTATTGCAGTACTGATTCGGCTTCACAAAAATCTGTTGCAGTGCATTGCTGATGTGATATAGTGGTTAGATTGTCCGATTAGGACCTGTGAGACCAGACTTTAAAGCTCACTGGGCCACTTTGGGTCAGTTGCTGTCCCTCGGCTTAACCTACATAGTGTTGTTATGAGGATAAAATGGGGAGGGGGAGAACCATGTACTCCTTGGACAGAAAAGTGGTATATAAATGTTGTAGTGGTAGTAGCAATGTTTTCCGGATTTCTTAGGGAATCCCTTCTGTCTCCTCAAAGATGGGGCTCCGAGGAAAAGGAGAATTTCAGAAACTAATGAAGGCACCCTTTCCAAATGCATCAAGAAATCCGATGAAGCCGGAAAGGTTTGCGACAAAAGCTCAGAGAAAAGACATATTGCATTGGAAAAGGTGAGTTGCCTTGTATGAGAAGTCACTGCAGTCGTGCTGAAATAATGAAATTAAAGCAGGGTTGAGAATGGAAAACTGTTCTGGGTGTGTGGCTTGTGCTGTTCTGGTCATCCTAAGTGTGCTCTTGGACTGATTTTTTTTTTTAAAAAATGCCAGGACTGAAATGTCTTGATAGTTTTGAGTTGTTCATTTCAGCCTTGCGTAACTACTGCTAGTTTTGTTTTGATAGCTCACTTCAAGCCCCCCTGGGGCTGGACAAGTCCAAAGGTAATGCTGCACGTGGCAGTGATGTTGCTGTGTAAATTGGGGTTGGGAATCTCCCAGCAAACTTAAGCCTTGCATCAGGGCTGCCAGCCCAGTTCTAGTCCTGGATGCAGCCAGTTCCCTCCGTTTCTAGCCTGTTCCGTTCTGAAGGCTCATGAGTAACAAATGATTTTTATTTCTTAACTAAAACTGTTTAATCAAAGCTTTATTTTGCTGTCTGATCCAGGGGCTACCAAGTATTTCTAGTAGGCATTATTATTATTATTATTATTATTATTATTATTAATTGAATTTATTCCCTGCCCTTCACCATCAGGTCCCACACAATTAAGAATAGTTAAAAGCACATTACAGTCACAAGAATGTGGTCGGTTCTGAAAACGCACATCTCCACCTAAAGAGGTGTGTTTTCATTTGCCCAAAGCAAAGTTGTTATCCCTGAACTATGGCCCTTTCCCACTGAAATGCACAAGGAAGTGCTGTAGCCCAGTTCAGAATGTGCCTTTCTGCATTTTATACTTTTGTCTGTATTTCTGTTCCTCTTATTCTTTCGCTTTTCAGTTAACCAAAGCAGCACCATCAGTAATAAGCAAAGAGGGCACATAGCTCTCCTAGACCCCAGTAACAGAGCTTATAGGCTGATACCATGTCAATTAGAGACAGACCAGAGCCGGTGGAAGATGATTGACAACTTGATAAGATAAAGGGAGTTTTAGGTAAACAACTCCAAATATGGGGTGTCCAATTGGAAGCCCAGATAAAGAGTCCATGAATATTGCAGAGATAAGGGCACGAGAGCATGTATTCTGAATGCTATATAGATGCCTTGAATTATATACAGTGGTACCTTGGTTCTTAATCCGTTCCAAAACCAAAGCATTCCAAAACCAAGGCGCGCTTTCCCATAGAAAGTAATACAAAACAGATTGATCCATAAAATGAAAATAATCGATGTACTGTACTATAAAATAAGAAAGTATTGTAGATAAAAGTACTGTAAAATTAAAATGATGATAGTCATTATTTGGAGGGCCTGCAAGATAGAGCTTATTCCACCTGGCCTTTGGTTTGGACTCAGTCTGACCCTTATGTTTTCCCTCCCCTTACGGTTTTTGATCTATGGGCTACTTTTAAAATGAGGCTGCATTTTAAATTGCATTTTAACCTGTATTTTAAATTAGTCCCCCCCCATTATGTTTTTTATTGTAATTTTACTGGTGTTAGCCACCCTGAGCCCAGCTCTGGCCGGGGAGGGCGGGGTATAAATAAAATTAATTTATTATTATCCATTTCGGCAGTCACACAATCAGCTGAACTGGGTTCCACATAGTCACAAAAACAAATGAACTGAAAAAGCCACAAAAACGCAAAATAAATAGCAAAACCAAAACTGCCAAATACAATGGTACCTTGGTTCTTTAACTTAATCCGTTCCGGAAGTCCATTTGACTTCCGAAATGTTCAAAAACCAAGGCTTGGCTTCTGATTGGTACAGGCACCCTGGAAACAATAGCTGACAGCCGCACCGGACGTTCGGCTTCCAAAAAACATTTGAAAACTGGAACACTCCACTGGGACTTCCGACACGCCTTTCCCTTGATTGGGAAAGGACCAGTCATAATTTTCAGAGCTTCCTTTTAAAGGGTAACAGTGCCCGGGTGTACGCGGTAGTTGGCATTGGATTGTACATTAAGAACTGTCTCTACCTGATCCTGGACAAGAATTTCCCCAGTTATTTCGGGGGGGGGGGGGAGAGACAGCTGCATCTACACCCTCCTGCGTGGCAGAGGAGGGTGTCTATTCATACAGAAGTCCTTAGCCCAAATCCAAATAGCTGCTTGAGGCATCTGCATTTTAGCCTCTTCAATTACATGGCGTGGAACACGCTTTCAGCAGAGATTTTGCAGGTACCCTCGCTTTTGACTTTCAGACTTATTTAAGCTGGCAGGCCTTTATCACAGTTTTAAGTTTGTTTGTTTGATCAGCCAGTCTTACCTTAATGATTATCTGCAGCTTAATTGTTTATTTTTTTTAAATGGTGTTTGTTTTATGCTAAGGATGATGTGATGCTAATGAACCGCTTCAGTTAATCAAAATCCACAAGGACTTTTGCACATGACTTTGGGCAGCTTGACCTCTGGATTTACGTACGCATCATTTTAAAAAAAAGTATTCCATGTATTCAAGCAACCCGGGTGCATGGAGTTTGTTGCGTGGCTCTTTGGATCCCAGCCTGGGTGAATGTTGGATGCCCATGAAGCTGTGGTTCGGGGTGAGCAACGGAAGGTGTTGCAGGAAAGTTTTATTTGTGTTGGAGTTGTTGCTTACTGCCATGCAAAAGGTGCTGTGCGTCGAGTCAGAGCTTTTAAAACTTCCCGCTTTCTAAGAATTTCTTGATTTAAAGGGTGCATGCTTATATGTGTTGTCCCCCCCCCCCCATTGTAGGTCAAATGCTTTATTCAAAGTCAGCTGGACAAGTCAATGAAAACCTTGGATCACAGGCTCGAACTTCTAAAGCAAAGAATCGACCACACGCAGTGCCTCCGGAAGCATGAAGCGATAGCTATTAAAATTGTAGTAAGGCAATGTTCCATTTTAAAAGCCTTGTCTGTCAGTCATGGTTTAATACATGAAAATTATAGGACACAAACTTGTGCATATGCACAAGCAGGTTTTTTATTTTATTTTACTGGAGCCTGTCGTGTCTCTAAGAGGCTGGCATCAGAAGCTGGTGTTATCAGGCATTTGCCAAGGCCCATATCCCGACAAGAGGTTCTTTGATGACCTCTGGCTCTGCTTTTCCTCCCTGCTGTCACTGCCTGTCCCTCTGCCTTCTCTGAGTGTTCAGTGGCAGGAGCAAGGCAGAAGAGGAGGGAGCATTTTGCCAAGGGCCCCTGCAAAACCTGGAGCCAGCACGTTATATATCTGTATATAGAAATATGGCCCATAAGTCACGTGTTGTAGAGATCCCACTGCTGGCTGCTGTTAGACTTGTCAGTTTAACCCATGGTGTACAAATGTCTGACACCTTGCATGCAGCTGAGACCCTCTACTTGGCATGTTAAAGTGGCACAGGAAAGGGTGCTGGCCTGCCAGGGTGGCTGAGGGATGCAAAGAGGACTTAAGGGGGAGGGAGTTTTAGGAGTGGGCAGTTCAGGAGCAGAGGGTTAAAGAAGTAAGGCAGAGAAGGGAGCAGTAAGTCAGGGAAGCAACACTAAGGAGGAACAGAGAGCAAGTGCAAATAAACCTCTTTGTATGGCAAAGAGGGTAGCAGAGTCTCTTTGTGGTTGCCATAAAAGGGGTGAGAGGAAGGGATGATAGACTTGCAGCTGGCGCAAGCAGTTTGGTGGTGGGATTCCTTTTCAGACACTAGGAAAAGGGGAAGTAGCAACTCGGGACATTCCGTCAGATTTGTTAGAAGCCATTGGTCATTGCAAAAACACAAATGATGTTAGAAGTACATCCTTGAGCCTACTAGCCAAACCCTTAGCTCCAGATATTTAGAGTTGCTTCAGTGCAACTGTGAATGTTGCTCCCCTTGTTCTAAAGTTTTTCTGCAGGCCAATGCAAGCTCTTCTTTCTCTTTCTCTTGCAGAAGAAAATCTCTAGGCTTGACAGACGCATTGATGCTGTAATAACAAGCCAGAAGAGAGAATCATCTAGAAAAGTAAGCATGCTACAGCACTATACAGTGGTACCTCGGGTTAAGTACTTAATTCGTTCCGGAGGTCCGTTCTTAACCTGAAACACCACTAGCTAATGGGGCCTCCTGCTGCCGCCAGAGCATGATTTCTGTTCTCATCCTGAAGCAAAGTTCTTAACCTGAAGCACTATTTTTGGGTTAGCGGAGTCTGTAACCTGAAGTGTATGTAACCCGAGGTACCACTGTATTATACTACAACACTCCATCATCGACAGAAACAACTATTGCTAAGCCATTTTCCCAGTGTCTTAATTCTCTTGAGCTCAGAAACTGCTGCAGTGCCTCAAGGTGACCAGTGCAACACAGTCATATGCATGCACTGTAATACCATATGTGTTTGAGTATGACTGGTTAGGCGTGCAGAAGGGAATCTGCAATGGATTCTGCGCCTTGAAAAAGAAGTTCTGGCTTCACTTCCTAACAGAGTGCCTGACAGGCCACTGCAGGGAGGTTGGAATTTTAAAATGTGAAGGGGTTGAGTTGCCTTCTAGGGAAACTAGCAGTGCAGCAGATGACAACAACAAAGCCTTTATTTATTTTTTGTGGTGGAGTAAGGCTTTATCTTTCCATCTTTAGACAGCCGGGTTTTAAGAACAGTGGAGAGCAGCTCCTGTGTCGGCTTTCACAGCCGCAGTTCCCGATGTTCTTCACAGACAAACTGAATGAAGCAGTGGTCTGTGGGGACCCATGATCTAATGGGTTTAAGTCAAAAGTTTCAGGTGAGCCTCAGGAAAAACTTCTTGACAGTGGGACCCAGATGCTTACTGATGGGGAACAGAAATAAACTTTAGTCAGCATGTGAGAGAACACAACAGTTACACTGGCTTTAATACCAGCAAGAAGAAGATGCTTCCTTTATGAAGGAGCCGGATTAGTCATACTGGAATATGTGGAATAGCACAGTGTACAAGTTATTTTTTTCTCTTTCCTTCCCAGGCCCTCCCTACAAGACCACCTTTGCAAATTGAAATAATAAATTGCCGCAGCCCTCAACATGGCAATGCAAACAGCATGTCAGCACTGTCAAAAGAGAAGCCATCCAATCTTAACAAAACTATCCCTAAAAACACAGAAAGGTAAGTCTCCCCATCAACATGGCAGCTGTCCTTGTTCATTTGCTGCATGCTTGGGAAGTGCAAGTATTGGTCCATGAAAAGCAGGCTTACATTACTGTTCTCTGCATTTAGCAACACACGTGCTATAACGCCTACTTCCCCCATTATTCATTTCACAAGTAAGACTTTGTTGCCTTAAGTGGAGGGGCTGGGTTCTTTTACATTTTTGCACAATCTATTTTGCATTCTTTTTTTTAATCAGCTCTGAAGACATTATATGCCTTTCTTGGGGGAAAAAAAGCTCAGACGTGGGAACAGTGAATCCTACAGGTACATGAAACTAAATTCTCCTTTCCCCTATTTTAAAAGAAACTTTTCAACAGTATGAGTCTTGTTTCGCAGCTGATTATTAGGTTATGTGTTATATATGCACACCATCTGCAAAGGACAATTAGCATGGTTCGAGAGGCGGAATAATACTCTTTCATAGAATTGTAGAGTTACGTGGTACTTGTAAGAGTGTAAGTCCCATTGATTGCCTCGTCAACCGCATTAATCCTTTGACTCAGCTTGGCTCTCAAACTTGGCGGGCAGCTCCTGGGCAAAATTGCAGATTCATTTGGACATAATTTGATGCCAGAGTTTGGCAATATGTGATTGAGCTCAGAAAGAAGACACGTCATGGTACATCTGCAAAACCAGATGCCTTCATCTGCCCCACCAGCAGTAAAGCACGTTTCTCCTATATTGGTCTCTACAGACAAAGCAGGCACTGTAGCTCTCCAATGGTTTGACTTTATCCCGGATGGTGCACTCTTCCATTGTTGCAAATCTGATTGCCCATTCCAGATCCAATTTAGCAGATTGGTGAAGGCTCTGTGGCAAGACCACCTGGAAGAATTCTACCTTTATAATTTCTATAGAACCATATATCCTCATGATGATTTTTATATATCCATGTATCCTAATGATGCTTAAATCACTAAGGCTTCAGTAGGGCTAGAAGTGCCTAAATCTCAGTTTCCCTTTGCCCTATTTCTCCCTGCCCTGCTATTGTGCTTGAAGGAAACAATAAATCTGATGTGTTGGCGTTTCCTATAGGGAACCTTTCCCAGACTGTTTCTCATGCTCACAAGGTGGAGGGTGAGATGGAGGAAATGGGAAAGAGAAGTCAGCCACAGAATGCAATGTTCTAGTCAATAAAAGATGGCGGGGTTACTCAAGCTTCAACGGTCGAATAGGTTTCTTTTCCTCTTTATAGCTGAAAATTAGGGTAAAGGGCATCATGATGCACAATATTGGAAAAGCAGAACTATTCTTTACATGGGCATAGGAAGGGCTTTGCCCCGCTCATTGGCTTGATTTTGCTGCACTATGTAATGCCTAACACTGTAATCAGGTATATAAACCCAAAGCCCAAGGGGCTCGGGTACCCAGGCTCTGGAAAGTATTCCACTGGGTCTTTATTGCTTAGCAATAAACTTTGCCTTCTTTTTCTCCACCGCTGCGTCTGTCGATTCTTGGACACATTTTGAGTGGGCAACAGGTATTCCTTATATGCTTGCAACAGCTCCTGCAGAGGGAAGCCATGATCTTTTGTCAGACGAGTTCAAGCGTTTTAAAATTTTCACTTCTGTCAAATTCCCTTAGGTATTCAGCAGAAAGAAATGTCTGTAAATGCCTCTACTTCAGCTGAAACTCCATGCAACTCTAAGGTCAGCTTTAACAACTCTTACCCCACCCCACCCCGTCCATAGAATTGTAGAGTGGGAAGAGACCCCAAAGGTCATCTAGTCCCCCCAAAGGTCCACCCCCTTCCGAGGCAGTCCATTCCACGGTCAAACAGCTCTTGCCATCAGAAATGACTTCCTAAAGTTTAGTCAGAATCTCATTTCTTGTAATTCAAAACCATTGGTTTGGCACCTGCCCTCAGAGAAGCAGAAAATAAGTTTGCTCCATCTTCCAAGTATTCTTTAAGATTCTCTTCTCTGGTGCAACTAGGCTTTTATTCCTTTCCCCCATCCTACAATGAATGGATCTGAATGATGAATGACTTTAAAGTGTGTTTCGAGCAGGAGTTAAGCGCAATAAATAAATTTGTCATCCACATCATCTGTGGCTGTGACATTTTGGGCCTTGCCGCATTATCAAGTGTGCCCAGTTATACTGAATTGGGGGACCCCCTTAAGAGATGGAACCCTCCGAATCTTGCTCTTCAAGGTAAATTACATACACAGGCCTCCTGGCCTCACTTGAAACACTTGCCTGCCCATCTGCGCCAGCTTGAGTCCCAAAGGAATTCACACTAGGTGAACGTTACCATGGGAATCTTGATCAGTGGCAATGTACTACCTTAAATCTAAAATATGAACAGCTTGTTTTATCATAGAATCATACAGTTTGATTTGTTTTAGGAATATTTATTAGGAAGTGTGCTGGAACCGTTCAGCAAATTGCTTTCCAACGGCTTACAGAAGTAAGCCATTGCTATTCCCTCACCCCAGTCTCCATTCATCCTCCATCCAAGCAAGCGGGAGCCATGATCAGAGTTCAAGGACCTACACCAGTGGGAGCACAGAGGGAGAGGCCTGGGGAAAATGTCTGAGAGCCAAACAACTGTGGAGGGAAGCATTCAGCCATCAGGCTCCCCGGTCCTATTACAGACCAGGACCAATCCTGAGAAACTTCTAGTTTTCGGCAGGGACAAGCCCCTTGTCCCAATTTTTGGCAGCACATTTTAAAAATTAGTTGTAGTACAGTGGTACCTTGGTTCTCAAACGCCTTGGTACTCAAGCAACTTGGAACCCAAACACTGCAAACCCAGAAGTAAGTGTTCCGGTTTGTAAACTTTCTTCAGAAGCCAAACATGCTCCATTTTAAGTGTTACGCTTCCATTTGGAGTGTTACGCTGAGGTCTGTCTGTTTTTGCTATTTATTTTGCGTTTTTGTGGCTCTTTCTGTGTGTGAGAGAGACTGTGTGGAACCCAGTTCGGCTACTGATTGATTGTGTGACTGCAGTACATTGTTTATTGCTTTCATTTTATGGATCAACGGTCTTGTTAGATAGTAAAATTCATGTTAAATTGCTCTTTTAGGGGTTGTTTTTAAAAGTCCAGAACGGATTAATCCGTTCTGCATTACTTTCTATGGGAAAGTGTGCCTTGGTTTTGGAACACTTTGGTTTTGGAACAGACTTCCGGAACAGATTAAGTTTGAGAACCAAGGTACCACTGTACTTTATTAGCCACCATGGCTAGTAGCCATTGGTGCAACGTTCCAGTGTCAGAATACCAACTGCTGGGAATTGCAGGTGGGCAGCCGGAGGCAGCAATGTTCTGAATACTGCTTGCTAGAAACCACAGGGGGGGGGGGGCGTGCATTTGTGCTCCGGCCCTGCTTGAGAATTTTCTACATATGTTTGGTTGGTAGCTGTGTGAGAACAGGATGCTGGACTAGGTGAGCCTTTGCCCTGATCCAGCAGTCTCTGCTGAGGTTCTTATGTTTAAACGTTTTGAATTCTCTTAATTGCAGAACCCATTATTTATCGATTTGACTGATGAAGGAGATGACAGCAACAAAGGTGAGGAAAGTGCGTGCTTTCATATCCATGTTAATGTATTGGCAATGTTTGAAATGTGTAAATGACTTTTCCACACGCAGTGCCCAGAACTAAATGGGAAATGTAAAACTACATAAGCAATATCTTGCGGAGCAGCAGTATAGCCCTGCATTTAATTGATACATATATACTTTAGTTTTTTGGTGAGCTGAAGCTGTTGCTGTGGTGAAATATGACTGGCACTATTGGTTTCCTGCCTTTGTTGTTGTTGCTGCAATGGTGGACTTGAACATACAGCTGATTCTGCTAAGTAGTAGTAATAATTTTATTATTTGTACTGCATCCTTCTGATGCGGGTGGCGCTGTGGTCTAAACCATTGAGCCTCTTGGGCTTGCCGATCAGAAGGTCGGTGGTTTGAATCCCCTTGACAGGGTGAGCTCCCGCAGTTCAAAAGCACGTCAAAGTGCAAGTAGATAAATAGGTACTGCTCCGGCGGGAAGGTAAACAGCGTTTCCATGCACTGCTCTGGTTCACCAGAAGCGGCTTAGTCATGCTGGCCACATGACCCGGAAGATGTTCACCGGCTCCCTCGGCCAGTAAAGCGAGATCAGCGCCGCAACCTCAGAGTCGTTTGCGACTGGACCCTAGCGATCAAGGGTCCCTTTACCTACTTTATCTGACTGAGTTACCCCAGCCACTCTGGGCAGCTTCCAACATAAATAAAAACACAGTGAAACATCAAACATTAAAAGTTTCCCAGTACAGGGCTGCCTTCAGACATCTTCTAAGATTGTATAGTTATTCATCTCCTTGACATCTGACGGGAGGGCATCCCACAGAGTGGGTGCCACTACTGAGAAGGCCCTCTTTCTGGTTCCCTGTAAGCTCTCAGTGAGGGAACTGCCAGAAGACCCTCGGAGCCGGGACCTCAGGGTCCGAGCTGAACAATGGGGGTGGAGACGCTCCTTCAGGTACACAGGACTAAGGCCCATGTATGTTATACAGCTGGCTGGGGGCTGATGGGAGTTGTAGTCAGACAACACCTGGAGGGCACCAAGTTGAGGACAGCTGCTGTATATGCTTGGTGCCAGCAATAGTTAAAATGCTTCATTTTGTAGGAGTTGGTAAAGAAAAAAAGTATTGCAAAGAAAACCCTTTTTTATATATATAACATTTTATTGATTTTCCAAAAATAACCAAAATAAAAAACAATGCAAAAACAAAACAAAACAAAACAAATTGACTTCCCTCTAATCCCTTCCTTGGTTCTATTATTAAGATACTGCATGTCCATTGTTAAATTTGTAACCTATTTAAATCACCTTCATAATAAATTACAAGTAATCTTAAAACCCTGCTAATGTATTAACCTGTGTACTAACCTGTGTACATCGCAACTGTATACAGTGGTACCTCTGAGTACGTACTTAATTCATTCCAGAGGTCTGTTCTTAACCCGAAGCACCAGTTTAACTAATGGGGCCTCCTGCTGCTGCCGCGCCGCCGCCGCGCGATTTCTGTTCTCATCCTGAAGCAAAGTTCTTAACCCGAGGTGCTATTTCTGGGTTAGTGGAGTCTGTAACCTGAAGCATTTGTAACCCGAGCTACCACTGTATATGCAATAAACATCTTCCATTCTTCCTTAAATTCATTATTATCTCTTCCTCTTAATGTCATTGTCAATTTTGCCATTTCAGCGTATTCCATTAGTTTAATTTGCCAGTCTTCTTTAGATGGGACACCTTCTTCTTTCCAATATTGTGCTACTAAGAAAACCGATTCACCCGTAGAAAGCCTGGTCCTAAATCATCCTCAGCCTGTGCTGCAAACATCAAATGAGGTAGCTAAATGATTTATTCATTCATTCATTCATTCATTCATTCTTAAGGGTATTTGGGGTGTAAAGGGAGGAGTAGTACCTCCAGTGGGGGGCATGCTGTACTCCTTCTGGATTGTTCAGGGTCGTTTGTGCTGTAGATGGAAGTGAGGGGCAGATGGGGTTTGTCAGCCTGCGAAGGAGAACTCTGATACTAAACCTCCACTGCCTTGTGGGGTATCTTCGGGGGGAAGAAAAGGCTAAGGAGTAAACCCTTCATAAATCTGGAGTGGAGTCCCTAAGACAGTTGGATGGTGCTTTGTATGCCTCCTTCCAGCAACTCCTGCAGCCAACGTCTTGCTCTGCTTTCCTTTGGACAACATCAGTGAGGCTAAGAGGGGGATCTTGTCGTCTGAGCAGCCCAGGACCTCCATACACACTGCTCAGGCTTGTGCACTGTGCAGGGTCACTTTGATGCTGTTAACGCAGGATTAACAAAATGGGAGGCAGCAGTTGTGCGTGAATGGTCTCTGCAACCACAGCAGGCGCTGTGATTCTCCAGCAGTTTGACTTCACCCCTGAAAATGCACTCCATTGTCTCTCGAGATAGACTGGGGCCCGCGATACTAATTCTTAATGGCACTAATGCCTTTTTCCCAGCCCTGGTGGTGCCCATGAGTCTCAGAGGATAGCCTGAAGGCATCTGAAGCAGTCCCACTTTACTCCCAGGTAGGTGTGCATAGAATGGAGAAGGATGAGAGCTCCGTGGGAGAGCATCTCCTTTGCACATACAGTGGTGCCTCGGGTTACAGATGCTTCAGGTTACAGACTCCGCTAACCCAGAAAGAGTACTTCGGGTTAAGAACTTTGCTTCAGGATGAGAACAGAAACCGCGCGGTGGCAGCGGGAGGCCCCATTAGCTAAAGTGGTACCTCAGGTTAAGAACAGTTTCAGGTTAAGAACGGACCTCCAGAACGAATTAAGTTCTTAACCCAAGGTACCACTGTAGATGCATTGGTCCCAGTCTCTGGAAGTGCGATTCAGGGGGCAGCAGCCCTGTGGCAGAGCATCCATTTCACATGCAAAAGTTCCCAGGTTCAGTCACTGGCATCTCCAGTTAAGAGTTGGGTAGCGAGCAATGGGAAAGATCGGTCATTGATTGTTTCCTATTTAATAAAATATATGGACCTCTTCTCAGTTTGTAAAATCTCAAAGGGTTCACAGTATATACAACCTTTGCTAAAATTACTTCAGAACATAAGGACCCTGCTGAATTAGGCCAGTGACGCATCTAGTCCAGCATCCTGTTTTCACAGTGGCCAGCCTGGTGCTTGTGCGAAACCCACATGCAGATGGGATCACTGCGATCCAGTGGTACTTTTTTTCCTCCAGGCTACACTTTCAGAATAAAAACTTGCTCGCACGACACCAACATTTTGATTGAAAAGAAATGCATTGGAAAGAACAACTAGGATTGTCTTCAGTATATCATTTGATGCTCTTGGTTCTCATTTTGAAAAGATACCTATCCACATTCTGTTAAAAAATAACCCACTATAGTATGCTAAACTATACGGAAATGATTAAATTATTCTTGGATCATACTTGAATCTTCCCGCCACACTTGCCATCCTCTCCTGCCACATGGTTGGAGATCCGCTGGTAATAGCCGTGGATAGCGTCTTGTCCTCCATTAAAAACAGCATAATAATTGTAATAGGAATTTATAAAAATAAACTGCAGCAGACAGAGCTAAACCATCTTCAGTATTGACAGGTGAAGAACACCAAGGTAAACTGGGAGCTGTTGGTAGAAGCACTCCCCCACCCCCGGTGTGTGCCTAGTCTCCACAGGGGTCTCATTCTGCAAAGCAGGAAACAGCCCTGCTCCTCATCCCAACCAGCCGTATTTCTGTATAGCCAGGAGAGACCCACCTGCAAACCTCAGGAACCTCCTCTGCCCAAGACCCTGCAGAGCCGCTGCCAGTCAGAGTAGGTGTCGCTGAGCTTAGATGGACAAATAAGCTGGCGCAGAATTAAGACAGTTTCCAATCAGGTGGGTAGGTACACCACTTTGCTGGCATTAAACTCTGCTGTTAAGGAGGGTCTCCCCCCCCCTTGCCCCCAACAGTGAGTCCCAACACCGTATCTGATTTCAGCACACAGTCGGATCTGAAATATCAACAAGAATTTGTCAGGCACTGATGACAGAGGAGCAGTCCACCCAAGCCATACCGAAGGATGAGCTTCATCCTCTTAGCCACTAGAGGGCCATCTTGTAATATAAGCTGCACATCTCTTAGCCCCAGCGACAGGAATGCTACAGCGCTTGGCTTTTCTTCAGTTCAGGGTTTCCCAAACTTGGGTCTCCAGCTGTTTTCGGACTACACTCCATCTTCCCTGACCACTGGTCCTGCTAGCTAGTGGTGATGGGATTTGTAGTGTAAAAACAGCTGGAGACCTAAGTTTGGGAAACTGCTTTTAGCTCAAGGCTGGGAAACCACATGTAGTTGGACTCCAGATCCCATCAGCACAGCCAGTGGTCATGGATGGTGGGAGCAGTAGTTCGAGAACAGCTGAACGGACACAGGTTTCGCACACCTGATGTAATTGGGGCTCCCAGATCACAATAACGCCAGTTTGGCAACACAGGGAGCATGACTCAAGCATGCTCTGTGGAGAGAGGGGTTTCGCTTTGAACGTTGTCTCTTAATAGTTTTGCGTTAAAGAGAAGTTTAGGTGTGGGAAGACAGGGAGCGTCAAGCTAGTTGTGAGTGTCTTTTCCTGCTATGCCAGAGTCGGGGGCTTTTTAGAAAATTTTGAACTAGGGAAAAAATGCAGTGATTTGCCTTTACCAAGCTTGTGAAATGGCAAAGCTTGCCTGATGTTTATCTGCAACCCGCATCCATTCATTGTGTACTAATGCACCTTGGTGGCGGCGGAGAATAATGCGTATAAGATTATGATACTGCAAAGTAAGAGCAGTGACAGACCATAGCAACAAGAATCCGCAGTTCAGTGGCCAAAGAAACCTTTTTTTTATTTTTAACCTCCCTTGCAAGCCTGAGCTCATTCTGAGCTTTAGCCAGCCTGATGTTCACCGCGCAACTTTCGGCCACTCATGTTTACTCCTCCTTTGTGATTTCCCCTTTCCTCAATTTTGTATGCATCCCCTTCTTAAATCTCGGCTCATCTGTAAATTCCTTATGCAGCCCCACTGGTTTCTGCAGATGCCCACTTTCCTTTCCTGTTGGAATTGTCTGCATTTGTGCCTTCAGTATTTCACCGTTAAGAATTCTAGGAAGGAAAACAGCATGTGTTTCATAATGCAACATTCCCTGTGGGATTCTTGTTGCTGTAGCCACTTAACAAATAATGATTTTTCTCATGGAGACATGCTGATCTGCTAAGTGTCCGGCAGCTTGCAGGGGGTGGTGTTGGACATGCTCCATGCCTAAGCTGGTGATTTAGCTTTGCATGTGGTCTTGATTATTAGTCTTATTTCATAAAATTTCTGTACTGCTTGGTTGTAGAAAAAACCCCTCAAAGTGGTGGCAGGTGGGTGAGCAATTGGAAATGTAAATTTACATTGTTGTGATTTTGCTTGTTTGCTGCATGACAGATTTGCTTAATTGTTTGCTGGTTCTATTTATAGGATTTTGTAATTTTTGTATATCTTCCTCCATTTATTTCTGTTACTTTGTTTCCTGCTCTGGGGGTGAAAGCATCCGATGAAGAGCTTGCTATTAATACTTTAAATGAGTAATATATAAGCAATGCAAGCAAGGGGAGTAGCCTCATTTTTTGTGCGTGAGAGGGTTGTTGCCAGTTCCAGTCCTACACAGAGTAGACCCATTGAAATTAATGGAACCACTTTAGTCATGACCATTAATTTCAGTGGGCCTACTCTTAAGTGGGATAGCCTGTACTTCCTTTCTCTACACGGAAGTCCCTTTAGTCAGACATGTAAATGGTTGAGCTGAAATGGATTGTTCCGGCCCTTTTTAGCCGCCCTGTTAACCGAAGCTCCTGCTTTCCCCACAGGTCCCTGAAGCGTTTCGGCACCTCCCTCCGTTACCGCAGGTTGAGCAGCAGCTGGAGAGCCTGTCCAGATTCAGATATACCCGTCCACCTCAAAAGCTGCACCTCGCTGTGGTTCAGGTGGAGAAGCCCAAAGGCTTTGGCCTGCGGTGGGAGGTCAGAAAGGTGGAACCGTCGTGTGCTCCTCTAGACAGCTTCCACGTGTTCGTTTGCCTGGAGTTCGTCGGTAAAGGTGTGCCGACCAGCTGGCTTAGGGTGCCGGAAATTAAGGCCATGCCTCTCCCCATGGGTTGCTCGTTAGCCCAGATTGCTGATTGCTCCAAGTGCTACTTTGCCATCCAGTCAAAGGACATTTATGGACGTTATGGACCCTTTAGTGACATTCATGCCATTTCAATGACGTAGCTCCTGTGAGGGGGGATCTAGGTTCCTACAGGACGTCTACTTTTTGTGTCCCTCTTCTCCCTACGCTGCCTATGGCTGGCGCCAGTTTCAGGATTCCAGTTACGGTAAGGTTTGACTCCTCACTTCTGAGACTTCCCATTGACCTCTTGCCTTTCTGCGAGGGGCGCCCTTAACATTTTAGATTTTGGAGGGGAGAGAGACAGGACCTTTGGCTTTGCTGCTATTGTTACCCTACAACTCCCATCATCCTGGCCTGTTCACCATACTAGCTGGGGCTGATAGGACTTGTAGTTCAACAGCATCTGCAATGCTTCGGCCCCTTTCCCCTGTTAGTTACCGTTCCTATAAGCTCAGACCACCAAAACGGTCTCCCTTGCAGGCATGCCGAGTAGTGGGGGCTGAGGAGGTTTCAGCTCCCCCCCCCCAAAAAAAAATAATTCAAGGAGTCTTCAGCCCCCCAAAACCCTGTGGTCTTCTCTGCCTCCTTGCTCAATATTGCGTGGATAGGAGGCTGAGCGTGGAGCCTGGGGGCTGCACTCTGCCTCTTCCTGCCCAATGCTGTGTGGGGAGAAGGCAGCCATTTGAGCGCTGGCATCACACCAGTGTGTCCCAGCCCGGCACGCTATTTGGGAGCAGATGCATCATGTGATGCGTCTCCCCCCCCCCAATGTGGGGGGCAAGTTGATGCCCCTGCTCCCTTCAATGTATTTTCACATATCTTGGCAGAAAGAGATTCATAATTGCACCCATTATGTCCTCATCTATGGCCTCTTCCAGGTCTCTGTCCCACGTCCCCTTTAGTGTGTCTTTAGCAGATGTGGAAGTTGGTTCCTTTTGCTTTATAAATTAAAAACATGGCCTTGCCTGAAGGGCAGGTTTCAAAAGCCATTTGTGATGCTCCAAAGCCACCTGCACTACAAAGAAGGCAAAAATTACCCCCCCCCCATTTTTGCAGCTCACAGACCTACTACAGCTTAGTTAGGGTCACCAGTTCCTCCTTAGAACTTCTAGATGTGGAAAACTCTCCAGCCATATCAGATCTGCATTCCTGGTGGCTTTTTTAAAAAAATGAAGTTATACCTGTAGTGTATAAGCCCTGCTGGTCGTCAGAGCTAAAATTCATGGTCACCGGTGAGAACTTTCCTCGTGGGACCCTGTCACTAAGCCGGTGTCTTTGTCACCTGTACTGATTCATCCAGTTAAACCTCTAGCTGCTTAGTGCACATATTAATTTTTTTGCTTTTGTTAGTCATGGGGAAAGAAGGCAAAGCAATTAAAGCCTTTGAACACTTGAAATTCTCAAGACGCACCAAGCGGCAGGCCTTCTGCCTCCAAGTATCCAGTCAGGCGCTGCTTTCAAGCCTGTCTTCCCAGTCCCTAGGGCTAGAAGGCTGCTTGAGAACGAAATGAAAGTTGCTAGTCTCAGAACACTTGGTTGAACTCGGCAGGCGTTTGTGTGCCTGGGTGGTACAATCCCACCCACTCCTACCTCTTCTTCATCTTAATGTCTAGCATCTCTTAAAAAACACTGGGCTTCCCTTCAGCGTTTAGGCAGATGCTGTCAAGAAAGCAAACTGCAACACGGTATCGGCACAATACTGGTTGTAACTTTTATTTCCGTGTACACAGATGGTATATAAAATACAAAACAACAGAGGCACAGTCGGTAGAGCTAAGCTAGCAGTCTTGACAATCACTGTCCTCCGCTAAGCATTTTTGGATTTCTCAATTTCTCCCCCAGCCCCAGAACTTGAAAAATGGTAGTACTAACGTACGAAGGAGTGCCTATTATTCCAGGCGAGTTGCAAAGGCAATAATAGCATTGTCAGAATTGGGGGGTTTTTTTGTATTCTCTGGTTATATTATGATTTGCAATTCAAATTTCTATTAAAGTGGTCAGAAAATATAATTGGCATAATGTTATCTATGTATGTACAGGTACATTTTTTTTTGTTTTTTTACATAAATACAAATTCTATCTATATAAAAAACACACCTGGTCAGACTAGTTCATTCTTTAGAGCAGGGAATAAATGGTGGCGCAGATTCTTGTATACAATGTATGTGTGGCTGCATGTGGAATGTCTGGGAATTTGGGAGGATGGTGCAGGAATAGGGTGCAATAAATTTGGGGTCACGCAGAGGGGGAAGAAACGGCAACAGAGTGTGGGCAACCTTTCAGTAGCTTTATGCCAATGGTGGGTGGAGCAACAAATCTCGTTCTCTTTGCATCGTAGGGTCTATCCCAACCATGCAAAAGTCACGAGGTTTCTCTCTGTACGCCATCGCTTCAAAGATGTCACTACAGGCACACAAAAAGCATGGTTCTATGTTCCATACAGGAGCATAAAAGTGATTCTGGGAGGAGCTGGGGTCATCAACTTGGTCTTTTAACTTGGTCTGATTTACTTAAAATGAGTTGTCACCAGTTCATCCATTTGGCCAAATGTTTTGGTTTGCGGGATCTAAAACACTCCCATTCCCCCCCTCCCCGTTTATGTTAATATTTCAAGTTGGGGATACCTTTTAAAAATGCTGAAAGTAAGGACAGTTTTTCTGGAGCACCATTTTGAGAGATGAAAGGGGGATTACAGAGGGGAAGTGGCTGTGCGAAGATGCAAAAGAAAACATTTAACACACACAAAATGCGCTCCCACTAAAAAATGCCCTTCCACACTGCTCACAATGGTTGTCTGTTAAATAGCTGCATTCTTGCACATTCTCCGAAATCTCAAAAAGGTCCCTCGTATTGAGAGATCAAATGGGCTACACGCACATTTAATTTAAACTGGATGGCAGCATGATTCCAAAGGCAGCTGATGTTCAAGTAAGAGGATGCAGATCAGCTGACAGCCCTGCAGACAGAGAAATCTTAAGCATGCTTACTCAGAAGAAAGTCCCAGTTGAGTTTAATGGGACTGATACCCTAGGAACAGAGAGAAGGATTTTGCAGCCTTAGTGATCGATGGGTCGTCCTTTTCCATTAATATCTTTTAATGCCCTATAAAGCCATCTTTGCTGTTGTTAAGAAGGTCAGACATTTGTACCTATACGAACAAGGCTCCTGGGTGAAATATGGGATCCTTGAGTGCAGCCTGAGGTTATTCTAGGTTTCTGCACCTGCTAATAATAAGAGCCTCGGGGGTTTTGAAAACCAGGTGACTTGTTAGTGGGTAAATTTGTCAGACAGATTGGAAAGACCAACAAATATGCCAGATAGTTAGCCAAATACTGGCTCGTTGGTTGGTTGAAGCCGTGATTTGGGGCAATCAGGAATCCCAAACTCTTCTGGAATAATGCAGTAGTGTTGGGTGGCTCTTTCCTGGTTGTAAAAATAAAAAATGAGTCTTCCTGCCTCTGTATTTGCCTCAAAGTAGGGAAGCTGTGCTTTAGCACTGACATTTTCCTGCTAAAATGACGTCAAGCTGGGTGCCCAGTGCTTTCTTCTGAGTCATGAATTTTGGTTTGCCTAAGCCCAATATTGCCTACAGCAGGGATGGCAATCCTAAGGGCCATATCTGGTCCCCCAAATGATTTCTGCCAGCTCCCAACAACTTGGCGATGTTATTTGTTTTCTGATGGCCACTAGGTTGACAGCTCGCCATGATCCACGCAAGGAAAAGGCCCTTCCACAGCCCTGCTACCTAGGATCCCTTTTGAATGGAGGGATTGAGTGCCTTCTCAAAGACAGACAGCCTTTCCATTTAAATTCTTCCAAAACGCAGAGAAATAGTAAAGATTAAGGCACGGCTGGACTGCCGCCGCAGAAACAAGCTGAGAGGTGGTGGGCTTGGGAAAGTGCCTCTCTGGGTCTCGATCAAGGCAGTAACCATCTTTGCGGCTTCTTGAGGTAGCTCTGGATACATGGTTCAGCAGGAAGAGGATCGGTCCCAAAGCAATTGTTTCAGCCTTGGGCAAGTAATGTTCTCTGAACCTTTCAGGGCTCTTCACTACACACCTATCGCAGCAGAACACTATCTTCCGTGGCGATAACTTAAGACACTCCCAGCTGGAATTGTTTTGAAGCATGGCATGGGCAGATGTGTCCAAGCTGGATTTAGAGCAGGCTGCACCCCTGTTCTGCCGCCCCCTGCCATGACCATTAACCACACGGGCACTGCGCCAAACCAAATGGACCCTTGAGATCAGCCCAGAACCATAGCGTTGAGCTTGCCAGCATCACACCAAACCATTGCTTTTTAGAAAGAACCTCCTAGGCTGGCATTCAATCACTGGAGGAACTACTGGCTGCAGGATTATCTCCCAGATCCACAGAATTATTCTGTGGCCAAGGGCAGTCTAGAACCGCCCCCCATCCCTATTTCTCAAAAGAATCCCAGGCGTCCAGTTGAGCACATGTTGCTAGCGACAGAATAATGTTTACTGTGCCCTGCCAGCTGTTCACATCTGTCCTACAGAGCCATAACCAGCTGGGGGGAGGGATGCTTTTTTTATTAATGCCTAGTAACATTACCTGTTTTGAAAGCTGTATAAGAAAAGGAAACAAGAAAAGGTACAATCAGTGACTTTTGGGAGACTACCATAGACATGGGTTGCCTTTAAGGTAGCCCACCCACGCCGGGGGGGGTTAGCTGTTCCAGTTCACCTGCATTTTTCCCCTCCCATAGTCCTTGTTTCAACACCAAGCAGGGAGAAGGAGGAGGAAGGGGGCCGCGGCAGGACCAAAAAAAAACAGACAATAACTTTTCCTTACTACAAAACCGCTCTTCTGCTATATACAAAATAGTTACTGGACTCCCAGTACTGCGAAACGGACAGACCGTTTCCTTTTCTCTCTCTTCCCCCTTCAACTAGCCGCTGCAGTTTTATTTGCGCTTCCTTAGTATTAGGTACATGATTCCACTGAGCAACGTGAAAGAGAAGGCGACCCACGCCAGGACATAGGAGTAGCCGTACTGCCCGCTGGACACCTGGAAAAAGTCGTACTGCGGACCCACGTGAAACTCCTCGTGGCGGTCTGTGTAAATGGACGCGGCGATCATCACGCACAGACCTGGGAAGGGAGAGAAGGGGGAAAGCCCGTGAATGGGTTGAGGATAGACCTGCCCGGAACCAGCCTCCTGGTGTTCTTGGTAAGTTAAGACTGAAAGATCTCTAAAAAATCAGGAAGAAGCACTAAGCACCCACGAAACCATCTTGCTGTTCAGGTGGTCTGGGTCTAATCAGTGCCTGGACAAGGGAGACTTAGGTCTCAGGTCTGGCCCCAGAAATTTCAGTGTCTGGGATGCAACCCAAGGGGAGCCCCTGGTGATGCCACGGGGATGGCACCAGTGGTGTCATGGGGTGGGCCCTGGAGACGGAGGTTAATTGGGAGAAGAGATGGGGAGCACCTTCCCCAGACTCTTTGTGCTGTCTTGTGGCACAGTGGGTCAGTGTGACAGCTCCTTGTCACGACTCCATTCTCTTTTGTGAGAGCGGCCGCCGCACATCCTTCAACCGGGAGGAGGTACTCACAGGATAGCAGCTGGATGATGGATGTTAAGACGAATCTCTCGCCTTGCTTTAGGCGGAACAGCTGGAGGATGAAAACGAAAAAGGCCACACAGCAGAGGATGGTGGAGAGGATCATGGTCGCCTGAACTGCCTGGATAGACTGGTAGTCTGTAAAATATACATGGGGAGGAAGTAGCAGTTAACAGTGCATTTAGGAAGATTCCTGCATTGCAGCGGATTGGACTTAGATGACCCTTGGGGTCCCTTCCAGCTCTTAGGATTCTGTGAGTTCTACAAGGACAACCTTGAGACTTAAGGGGGAGAGACCAGTGTCAATCCCTTGTCTGAATTTAAGAAAGCAGGTAGGAGAGGATTGGGATTGCTTCTCACTGCGAGAAGCAAAGCTACAGGGAACCAGGCAGAAGGCCTTCTCAGTAGTGGCGCCTGCCCTGTGGAACGCCCTCCCATCAGATGTCAAAGAGATAAACAATTACCTGACATTTAGAAGACATCTGAAGGCAGCCCTGTTCAGGGAAGTTTTGAATGTGTGACATTTTAATGTATTTTTAATCTTTGTTGGAAGCCTCCCAGAGTGGCTGGGGAGACCCAGCCAGATGGGCGGGGTATAAATAATAAATTATTATTAATTATTATTATTTATTATTATCAATTTATTATTTATATGCCGCCCATCTGACTGGGTTTCCCCAGCCACTGGGCGTCTTCCAACAAAATATTAAAAATACAATAAAACATCAAACATTAAAAACTTCCCTAAACAGGGCTGCCATCAGATGTCTACTAAAAGTCAGATAGTTGTTTCTTTCCTTGACATCTAATGGGAGGGCGTTCCACAGGGTGGGTGCCACCACCGAGAAGGCCCTCTGCCTGGTTCCCTGTAACCTCACTTCTCTCAACAAAGGAACCGCCATAAGGTCCCTATGGATTTTTATATGCTGCCACCGCTCCCAAACCAATATTGCTGGTGCAGATCTTCGATGGTCATCCTTGGATGCTGTAGTCAGTGGTTCAAAATACATCTGCAATGCACCTCTTGACTCTTGCCTTCCCACGCTAGCAGTCTAGTCCCTGCACCGTCTCAGTGCTTCCCAAAGGGAAGTTTGTTTTCTGAGGTCTTGACAGTCACATTTAATTTCTGGGCTGGTTGGTTTTTAAAAAATAAAAATTATATAATAAAATAATCATCCCATTAATTTTTCCTTCTTGGAGCCCACCTGCATCCTGCCAGCGACTTCCTCCCGCCACTGCTTGCGCAGAGTGACAATAAGAAAAGGTGTCAGCCTCTTGCCAACTCTCCTGAATCCATTTCCTCCCGCCCTCCTGCTCCCCAAATAAATGCAACTTCCACAAAAAGGAACTTTTCAGAGTCTGGCTGCGCCAGCCAGCCCTGCCCTTCCTTCTGTTGTTCTTCAGACATCAGCGAAATCAGGGGATTAACTACGAGATGCAACCAGGGCAGGTAGAGGCATTAGAATCATAGAATTGTAGAGTTGGAAGGGACCCTGAGGGTCATCTAGTCCAACCCCCTGCAATGTAGGAATCTCAGCTAAAGCATCCATGACAAATGGCCATCCAACCTCTGCTTAAAAACCTCCAAGGAGAGCACCACCTCTCACAGGAGACCGTTCCACTGTCAAACAGCTCTTAACTTCCCAACCACCACCTCCTGCCTTGCACACCTATATTTCACTGTTTAAACTAGTTGACAATTAATATAAAAATTGCTAAGCATAATCTTTTTTTAAAAAAGTCATATGACTATACCATTCTTGTTTTGAAAAGCAAGCTTTGAGACGGATACCTATGTCATATTTTATTCTTAACATAATGGTTCTAATATCTAGCCATGTGTAATCTGGTTTACCTGTACAGTGGTACCTCGGGTTAAGTACTTAATTCGTTCAGGAGGTCTGTCCTTAACCTGAAACTGTTCTTAACCTGAAGCACCACTTTAGCTAATGGGGCCTCCTGCTGCTGCTGCACCGCCGGAGCCAGATTCCTGTTCTCATCCTGAAGCAAAGTTCTTAACCTGAAGCACTATTTCTGGGTTAGCAGAGTGTGTAACTTGAAGCGTATGTAACCTGAAGCGTATGTAACCCAAGGTACCACTGTATCTACAAAATGAACTACAGTCATACCTCGGGTTACAGACGCTTCAGTTTACTTTTTTTGGGTTACGGACTGCCGAAACCCGGAAGTACCAGAACGGGTTACTTCTGGGTTTCAGCAGTCGCACATGCGCAGACGCGCCAAATCGCAACCCGCGCGTGCGCAGACGCGCTGCTGCAGGTTGCGGACACTGCGGGTTGTGAACGTGCATCCCGCACGGATCATGTTCGCAACCTGAGCGTCCACTGTACTACTCTGTGCTTAAGCAACCTAGAAAGAATTGGTGTATTATCTACTAGTTTCTTGATCAGAAGGAGAAAGTTTTACTGTTAGATTTATTCATAGGAGAGCATTTCTTAGGCAAGGTCTCCAGCGCTGCCACTAATTGCTGCTGTGGTACATGGCCGGCAGCCGTGGCAAGGGCACCACACACAAGGGGGCACAGGCGGCTGGCACCCAACTATACCCATTGCCCCATAAGTAGGTTCCCTGCCAATGCCTCTTCCACAGTGCCCAGCTCCTGCATAATGCCAACACCCAACAGCTCCTGAACTGCAGGCACCCTGCAACAGCTGAAGCAAGCCTCACCCTCCATCCTCATCTGCATGCCCTCCCACTCTCAATCTCGGCTACCATTGTCACTTCCTACCTCCTCCCCCTTCCGGCATCGGACGCGGCACCTGGGACAGCCAATGGGCAGCGAGATTGGAACTGCCTGCATCCAATCACAGGGCTGGCTTCGCCGCAGAGGCCCCATGGGAAATGTAGTTCTTTTTAGGAGCCAAACAAAAAAAAAACCAGGACATTTTGCCAAGTTTTAAAAATCCCTCCAGAAAACAAAATTTTACCTCCAAAACGAGGCCATGTCCAGGAAAATCCGGACGTATGGCAACCCTACTCAGGAACATCCTTAAAAGAGATTCGCCAACACTCATTTCTGCATGCCATGATGTCATTACATTTTCCAGCCAATGATGAAGAGAAGTGCATGGGGAAATATTATTGTGATGATGATACACACTCCTTGGAAGACACTGATGGTGGGTGGGGAGAAAGAAGTAATCCCACCCCAAGATGCAGGAAGAGCTGTCTGATGACTCACCTGGGAAGGTCTCATCCAGGGCTGTACAGTTAGTGCCATTGAGGCAGCGATGCCAGACATCTGTGGAGAAGTCCTCCCCGACCCACCATGCCTGGAGAAGGATGATTTTAAAAAGCACATGAAAATATAGATCTTGGAGGATTGATCGGTCGATTTCACTTTGATGCCAGTTTTCCACAATCAGCTGTGCCCAAAGTGGCTTCCAGCAGACATTTCAAAACATCAAAATACAAACAGAGCATGCTGCTAAATTGAAAAATGACAAAAATCTGACAAACACAGAACAAATTCAATATTAACCCCCCCCCCCAAAAAAAGTCTAGGTTTAAGTAAAACCAGAGTTAACTGACAATAAAGTTTCTGGTGCTGGTCTTCCCAATTTGATTTGATTTAACATTTGTATTCCGCTTTTCCAATGGCAAATGCCAAGGTCAGGGCAGCCAGCTCACGAGAATCACAATAGCATTTAAGAAGCAGTCACTTTACCATCAAGTACAATAGCGCATAAATAAAGCAAATAACAAATTCCTTGAAATGATTATTACACTTCAGTTAAGCCAGGCATGGCCAAACTTGGCCCTCCAGGTGTTTTGGAACTACAATTCCCATCACTCCTGACCACTGGTCCCGTTAGCTAGGGATGATGGGAGTTGTAGTCCCAAAAACATCTGGAGTGCCAAGTTCTAAATATCAGAAACCATCCATCAAAATGATCAATACACTTCAGCAAAGTTACTTCCTCCACTCCAAGGAGCCTTGGCTTATATGCGGCTCAGAGGGGAATGGTCCTCTTACCAGGGTAGATGGCTGGCTCCCATATCCTTACTCCAGAGGAGGCTGAAAGCAGCCAAAAGCCAATGTCGGGGAGGGCAATGGTGGCAACAGGTTCAAAACATCCAGCCCCTCCAGTAAAATACATAAGAGTGTCTCCACTTTCAATTTGTGGAGTCTTTTTCACTTCCATTTCGAAGACTTTCTTTTCATCTTTGAACACCAGGCACACAGACACACACCCCAAATCAAAAAAATAATAATATGCTGTTGGCAGGCAACTTACGCTGTCAATCGTGGCGATGAACAGAAGGGCAGCCGAGCTGATGTGGAAGACGATGATGAAGGCGAGAAGAATCAGCATCTTTGCGAGGGGAGGGTTGCTCTAGTCTAGAGGAAGAGAATGCTGTACCAAAAGACAAGGAGGGAAAGAGGTTCAGAGCTTTGGAAATGGGTGGTTACTGTGAAAGGATGGTGTTTTTTTATTAAATTTATATACCACCTTTTTTTCAAAAGACCACCAGGTGGCTTAAAACACAGAACATAAACAATACAATTCCATACGTATCATGGTATCTATACAACACACAAGGTTTTATAGGTACCATTGTACTAACACATACATACCTAATGCAGACTCTCAAAAGAAAAATACTCCTATAGAATAACTTTTTGCTTCCACCTTCATCCATTGCTCAGAAAGACAGACAGACAAATCAATGTTGCCCTCACACGACACACACACAAGCTTTTATTCTTCTTTATATTATATTATTATTTTTATATTTATACCCCCCACTGCACAAGGATATAATTATTTCCTTCAAGGAGTTTGAAGTGGTCACTTGTTTCTCCCCCCTTCCCGCTCCCCCCCCCAACAACAACCCTGTGAGGTAGATTTGGCTGAGAGGAAATGTTTGGCTCAAAGTCAATTGGTGAGCTTCATGGAGGTTGAGTAAGGGGACCTGAACCCAGATCTCCCAGATCCTAGTCCAGGGGTGGGGAATCTGAGGCCTTGGGGGAAGATGTGGCCCTCCAGGCCTTGTTATGTGGCCCTCAAAACTCTCCCCAGGCCACGCCCCTTCTCTGTAAAGGTAAAGGGACCCCTGACCACTAGGTCCAGTCATGGCCAACTCTGGGGTTGTGGCGCTCATTTTGCTTTACTGGCTGAGGGAGCCGCCGTACAGCTTCCGGGTCATGTGGCCAGCATGACTAAGCCGCTTCTGGCGAACCACAGCAGCGCACGGAAACGCCACTTACCTTCCCACCCAAGTGGTACCTATTTATCTACTTGCACTTTGACGTGCTTTCGAACTGCTAGGTTGGCAGGAGCAGGGACCGAGCAACGGGAGCTCACCCCGTCGCGGGGATTCGAACCGCCGACCTTCTGATCGGCAAGTCCTAGGCTCTGTGGTTTAACCCACAGCGCCACCCACGTCCCTGTACCTCCCTCAAATGTGCATTTAGACAGTGAAAATTCCACTTGCTTGCTTGGAACAGAGAGGGGTGTGTGGGAAGACCCTGTACTTTTGCACCACTTCAATGTAGCCTATTTATTTATTTCACTAAATTTATATAAAACGCAGCCGCGTAAGCCTTTGGCAATTGCACAGAGTGGCTGAGCGAATCTGACAAAGGACAGGGTCCACTGCAGAAGCAAGCTTGGAAGAAAAATGAGCTGCGCTTATTTCTTACTGGAAAAGGGTCTCTCTACTCTGACTCCAGTCTTATCATACCATTTCTGGCAGTATGTACTTTGAGAAGGCTGGGAAGAAATAGATTTCTGTAACATCTGTGGTTTAAAGAAGATTTTTTCTAAAGGTTGCAGTCATAAGGCCTAGAAACCTGAAAATAAATTCATGCATGAGACACACTGCAATTTTCACATGCTCATGCACAATGGAAGCAAGCGAGGGATTTCTTGGAAGAAACGAAGGCAGACGTATCACTGGGAATTCGTGAACCACTGAGAATCTCGAAAGTTCTCACGCACAGGTCTTTGTCAACCAATCCGCTATAGGGCTTTCATATACTTTAATTTATTGCTTCAACAATCCCCTTTAGATCCAACGTTCCATATCTTTTGGCGAGGCAAAGGAACATCTGTTGCAGCTTGCTAAGCTAACACCGTGGCATTCGGGCATGCAAACTAACCCAGCCTATGTACCTTGATTCTTTTTTTCTTTTTTTGGAAATGAAAATACAAAACGAAGCTGGCAGCCCCAGACAAGCTGTCGTCTTTCATTTTGAGCAGACTAAGGGTTGTTGCTTTGTGGCTTAAAAAAACAAACGTTTTCAAAACAGTTAAAAAGAGCGAAGTCTTGTTTTAGCATCTGGTTTCGATCAGCTCAGATTGCTGAATGCAAATCCAAAGGAGGCCAGGTCCATCTTCTGGGGGATGGGGTGAATAAATTAACAACAACAACAACAACAATAATATTAATAATTAATCTATACCCCACCCTTCTGGATGGGTTTCCCCAGCCACTCTGGGCGGCTTCCAACAAAAGATTAAAAGTACATTAAAACATCAGTCATTAAAAACTTCCCTAAACAGGGCTGCCTTCAGATGTCTTCTAAACGTCCGATGGGAGGGCGTTCCACAGGGCAAGCGACACTACCCAGCTGCCAATGGGAAGAGGACAAATACACCCCACCTCTCCCAAAGCTGCACCTCTCGCCACTCCTACTTTTCAAGTGTTTTTACCTGGTGGGAATCTGCCTTTGAGCTGTGATAATTGCTTGCCTGGATGCAGGATGGAGAGACCAGTGTGTGCATGTAGAAACCCGTGGCTTTGGGATGGCTGGAATGTAGGCTAATGTAGAGTCACACCTGTCTCTCCACCCACCTTTGCCTCTCGACCATTGCACCGCTGGCATGCGGCCCACAAAGGAGCACAGTCAGATGCCCCTGGGAATCCCAGAAGCAGGGCATCAAGGCAGCCGCCCTTCCCCATGCTTTGCCCCTGGAATTTGGTACTGCCAGATAGATTGCCTTGGTGCATGGAAGCTCTCACTCTCTAGCTAGCTAGCTCAGCTAATTGAGGTCCAGCTCCGAGGGCCTTCTGACAGTTCCCTCACTGCGAGAAGCGCAGTTGCAGGGAACCAGGCAGAGGGCCTTCTTGGTAGAAGAAGAGGAGTTTGGATTTGATATCCCGCGCCTTTCACTCCCCTTCAGGAGTCTCAAAGCGGCTAACATTCTCCTTTCCCTTCCTCCCCCACAACAAACACTCTGTGAGGTGAGTGAGGCTGAGAGACTTCAGAGAAGTGTGACTGGCCCAAGGTCACCCAGCAGCTGCATGTGGAGGAGCGGAGACGCGAACCCGGTTCCCCAGATTACGAGACTACCGCTCTTAACCACTACACCACACTGGCTCCCGCCCTGTGGAACACCCTCCCATCAGATGTCAAAGAAATAAACAACTATCTGACGTTTAGAAGATATCTGAAGGCAGCCCTGTTTAGGGAAGTTTTTAATGACTGATGTTTTAATGTATTTTTAATCAGTGTGGTGTAGTGGTTAAGAGCAGTAGACTCGTAATCTGGTGAACCGGGTTCGCTTCCCCGCTCCTCCACATGCAGCTGCTGGGTGACCTTGGGCCAGTCACACTTCTCTGAAGTCTCTCAGCCCCACTCACCTCACAGAGTGTTTGTTGTGGGGGAGGAAGGGAAAGGAGATTGTGAGCCACTTTGAGACTCTTTAGGGTAGTGATAAAGCAGGATATCAAATCCAAACTCTTCTTCTTTTTCTTTTGTTGGAAGCCGCCCAGAGTGGCTGGGGAAACCCAGCCAGATGGGCGGGGTAGAAATATTACTACTACTACTACTACTACTACTACACTGAATGACAGTGGCTTTCTGGGATTCCAGACAGCGAGCTTTCCAATCCTACCCAGGGATGCCAGGAACCGAACCTGTGACCCACTGCATGCAAGGCAGTTGCTTTACCACTGAACCACGGCCTGCCCGTAAATGTCACCCTACATTTGTCACTTTGGTGGTTATGGGTTTTGAGGGGGCATTTTCCCAAGGCTCCAGGGAGGCCAGACACCATCCTTTTGCTATAAGAAAAAACTGCTCCCTTTCCCTTATGGGGTATTGCTGAGCTCGTACAGAGTCCTTAAGTGGGTTCCCTATCGGTTGGAAAAAATAACAGAGACCAGGCAGAGTATATTGAGAAGCAAAGCGGCTAGTAAGCCTGATCTTTATTGAAGGAAAATAAACTGTTGTAACAGGGTCCCCACCCACCACACGCAGAAGGGAGGAGAACCCTGAACAGTGGGGTGCAAGCTCTTATACAGACTCTTGAAATAGCCCACCCTGTAGCCCAAGACCACCACCCCAACATCATACATACATCACAGAAGGAGGCAGTCTACAGCCAGGATACCTGATAATGGTCACTGATTGCATTACCTGAGCAGCAAAGCCATTCTTTTGTGGCTGTTTACTTTAGTTCCTGAATACAGGTCACAGGCTCACCCTATTCATGCACAAATACACCCTTAAAACAGGATTTGTAAGCAAAAAGACAATGGGAAGGCTTTCCCCATTTGCCTCCCTTACTGCAGAGGTATATTTGAGGTCACTGGGAGAGTCAAAATGGCTTCAGGATTGCTCTCCTGTACTATTTCAGACACATGGTTCATATATTTAGATAGGTGTGCATTTATGAATATTTATTCTGTATTTGAGACCTTGAAATTCTTACAACACTCTTTTGCAAACTCCCCTTGAAAGGGATTTTTTTTTTTTACTTTCTGCAAGGCCAGGATATTTCTCCCCCGTTTCGTCGGTCCCTCCACAGCACGGCGTGGAAAGGGAAAGTTGGAGTTTGGTTTGGAACAAAGCACTTGGGTTTTCCTTTCGGCAGGCCAAGGCAGGAAGCTGAATTGCCGTTGAACAAACAGCTCGCTGTTCAGGTGCACAATAGGCAGGGGTCAAAAAGTTTGCCCTGAATGGAGCAGAGACCACTTGAGGGTGGGCTGGGGTGCAGTTTGAGAGAGAAACAGAAGGCGTGTGCAGCCCTGACCCGTCCAAGGTGGGAGACTCGGTATCATCTCATCCATTTGCCAATCCCAAAATAAGACACAGGCCTTGTTCCTCCTGCTCAAATGTCTCCCTTAGAAAAAGGGAATACGTGCCCTCAGCTGGGTGCTTAGGGTTAGGTCAAGGTTTACTGCATTCACAAAGCCTTTCCCACAACAGAATAATCCTGAAGCAACAGGAATGAAACCCAGGAATAAAAAAAGAGACAAAGATATATAGACCTCAAAAAACCAGCCATGGATGCTGGCCAAATTCCAGGGAAAATAGAAATGGTGAAAAGTTGGTACCGTAGAACCATAGAATTGTAGGGTTGAAAGGGACCCCAAAGACCATCTAGTCCAACCCCCTGCAATGCAGGAATCTCAACTAGATCATACATGATAGCCAACCTTTGCTTAAAAACCTCCAACGAAGGAGAAACCACCACCTCCCCAGGGAGTCCATTTCCATTGTCCAACAGCTCTCATTGTCAGAAAGTTCTTCCCAATGTTTGGTCAGAGTCATTTTTTCCTTGTCATTTGAATCCATTGCTTTGGTTTCTACCCTCTGGAGTAGCACAGAATCAGAGAGTTGGAAGGGACCCAGCGGTTCTCCACCTGTGGGTCCCCAGATGTTGTTGGACTACAACTCCCATCATCCCTAAGCTCTGGCCTTGCTAGCTAGGGGTGATGGGAGTTGTAGTTCAACAACATCTGGGGACACACAGGTTGAGAAAGGCTGATTCTAGTCCATGGGTCGGCAAACTAAGGTCCGCGGGCCAGATCAGGCCCAATTGCCTGCGGACGGTCCGGGAATCCAAGCAGCCGGCGTAGTGCGCGCGATGGTTTTTGCGACTCAGCCAGGCTTGGGGGTCAAAAGTGAGGCAAGCGGATGCTCGAGAAAAGCCCCTTCGCCATTCGTTGCGCACAGCAATCTTTTCTTCCAGGATGGGGAAGAGGGAAAAGGAGCCACAGTTCAGATTTCCACCATGGAGATGCCAGCAACTGACCTCAGGAAGGGCAGTTGCGGTGGCAGGGGCTCAAAGGCGTCTCAGGAGCGACGCCCGCCGGGGTCTGTGGCAACGGTGCTCCCCGCCAAAGGAAGCGGGGAGCGCCTGGGCGGCTGGACTCCAAAACAGTTCTGCGCTTTGCTGGGGAGGCCACTTGTTAGCTACATGGTGTGAGCCATGGAAAGGTAAACAGCCACCACCTCATCTTCCCTCACCCGGGGAAAAGAACATTTTTGCTTGAGCGTCGCCGGCCTTAGTGTGGCCAACAGCTTCTCCCTTCACCCACACATGCGCACACGCTCTCCAGGGCTGACAGGAATGGCGCACTTACCTCAGCCCCCCCACCCCCCGCCTTACGAGAGAAATAACTGTCAATGCATAGAATGCAAAGGAAGCAGCGTGGGTGTATGAGGTCACACACACCCCCCAAAAAAATCACGTTTGGGCAACGTTGGGGGTTGGTCCCAATAAGGGTTTTTGCCAAAAATGTGGGTCAAAATCATAGCAACATATAGTCCGGCCCCCCACAAGATCTGAGGGACAGTGGACCGGCCCCCTGCTGGAAAAGTTTGCTAATCCCCGATTCTAGTCCGACCCTCTGCGATACAGGAATTTGCAGCTGTCCCTTACGGGGATCGAACCTGCAACCTTGGCATTACCAGCACCTCACTCTTACCAAATTAGCAATCCAGGTTCACAGAACCCCTTTTGGGTACCGCAATCTTGTGCACTTTTGAACCCCCCTCTTGCCCCCCAAAAGCACTTTTGGGGGAGCTGCAGAAATTCGTGCCCCCCCAAATAGCGCTTTTTTTGCCGACTGAGATTGTGGCGCATGATGCGCGTCCCGTTTTTTTTGTTCTGAAAAAATGGGACGGTATGGCACCTGTCTCAACATGACTGCTTCCCTGCGAGCTGGTGATGTGCATTTTGTCGGAAGAAAAACCCAGAAGCTGAAACAGCTTTGCCTATTCGTTGTACCACTGAAGTATCCCAGATACTGAAATTTGTACTGCACATCACTGACTGAATATTGATTTTCCCCCAAGCTTGCATCGGGGCCCGAGTGGCATCTACTCCCCTATAAATCCTGATCCTATACAATCTTCTTTAGCAGATCCAGGTTTCTCTGGCCACAGCTGAGATTACTATTTGGAATAAGACCTATTTGAATAGTTTCAAACGAGGCCTGTCAAAGCTATTTTGACATATTTTCACATATCCTTCCAGTTTGCATTCCTTATCTCATTCCTTCTCTGGGTTGTTTTGACAGATTGTGTGCTGCAATTTCCCAGGGGGAAAAGGGCATCTGGCTGGACTTTTCTTGGAAACAGGATGCTTTGGTTTGGACCAAGAAGGCAGTTCTTAGGTTAAGACTCTTGTCTTCCTCAGATTGGCGGAACTTGAGGGCTCAGGCCAAGGCAGGGACTTGATTTTTACACCGTCTTGGCTTCGTTTTTAGCCTCGGGGCTGGGGGTCCGGGAGCGAAGGCGCGGTTGCGCTCAACCTCGCCATCGCTCCCAGAGCTTGCTGCTATCCACAAGCCTTCTGAGCCCGGCGGGAACTCCCGCCGGGCTCCGAAGGCTTGCAGATAGCTTCCTGAAGCCTGGAGAACAAGAGGGTCGGTGTGCACCGGCCCCTCTCGCTCTCCAGGCTTCAGCAAAAGCCTGCATTCGCTCCATAGGACGCACACACATTTCCCCTTCATTTTTGGAGGGGGAAAACTGCGTCCTATAGAGCGAAAAATACGGTAATCCCGTCTGGTTTGCTGGAGGAGAGAAGTTGGAGGGTACCAGTCAACTGCAGCAAGGGCTCCATGCGAATCTCCACCTCCTGCTCCCTCTTCCTCCTCCTCATCCCGGGCTCCTTGCAACCTCAGCAGCAGCAAGAGCAGCTGCCACCGGGGGGGGGCGTGGCCAGGCAGGAGGGGCTGCGAAGGGGCGGAGCTCCTGGCAGGGTCCCAGAAAAAAGTGGAGCCCCGGCCGACGCATGCGCCAAACCAGGCGCCAGAGCGGCTAGCGACGCCGCTGCCGGAAGCCTAGGAAAAGAGATCTCCCTTGGACAATCCAAATGGAATTGGCTTGTCAACAGGCTGAAGACCAAATTGTCCACCACCAGCCTTTGTTTCCTTGAAAGAGAAACCCTCTCCTCCTTACAGAGGGGAGGAGTTGTGAGCAGGAGCCGTTTCCCGCGTCGGCGGGGGGGGGGACGTTCTGGCCCCTGCCCAGCTGGCCTGGCTGCCACGCCACGCCCCCAGGTAGCCAACCAATCAGGTGGAGGCTTGGGGGCGGGGTTTAGCAAGTTTTGTAAGGAGGAATATATGATATATTGCAAAGAAGATAAAGAAGAGAGACATTAGTTATGAGTAATAGCGAAAGTAAGAAATGTAAATTAAGTGGAAAAGATTGGAAAATTTTCAGATGTGATTGGCAGAAGTCAAAAAAAATTGTATAAGATATAAAAGTATGTTTTGTAATTGTTGAAAATGATATGTGTATATGTGTGTGTGTGTGTGTGTGTGTGTATATATACACCATATTTTTCGCTCTATAAGACGCACCAGACCACAAGACGCACCTAGTTTTTGGAGGAGGAAAACAAGAAAAAACATATTCTGAATCTCAGAAGCCAGAACAGCAAGAGGGATCGCTGCACAGTGAAAGCAGCAATCCCTCTTGCTGTTCTGGCTTCAGGGATAGCTTCGCAGCCTGCATTCGCTCCATAAGACACACACACATTTCCCCTTACTTTTTAGGATGGAAAAAGTGAGTCTTATAGAGCAAAAAATACGGTATATAAAAGAGAGAGATTTAAAGCTGCGACACTGTAAATCGAGAGACTGTGCATCTCAGCTCCTTTACTGGCTTGTAAGGATTACTGGGATAACCTGCATGACACATTTAGGAAACACTGTGTTTTTGTGTGTTTTTAGAAAACAAAGTGCAGCTCCAGGCGTGGCGATCAAGCCACTGTCTGTGCCCAAGGGTAACCTTTTGGCTGGCGTTTCCTTCCATTCTCCCTGGCAACTTTTTGCCCAAGTAGGGGAAAGAAGTCATTGCGATGAGTCCGGTGCCGCCATCTTAATTGTCCTAATAACATCCTTGTGAGAGTCTTGAGGCCTATCATCCTAGAGCACGAGGAAACTATCCTTCATGGAATAGGGTTGCTTCTGTCCTTCGGCTGATAGCGTTGATCCTATCACATGCCATTTGTCAAATGGGCGTGGGGATGTTAGAATCTTCGACTACAGTGATACCTCAGGTTACATATGCTTCAGGTTATGTACACTTCAGGTTACAGACTCTGCTAACCCAGAAATATTGCCTTGGGTTAAGAACTTTGCTTCAGGATGAGAACAGAAATCATGCAGTGGCAGCGCAGTGGCAGTGGGAGGCCCCATTAGTTAAAGTGGTGCTTCAGGTTAAGAACAGTTTCAGGTTAAGAACAGAGCTCCAGAACGAATTAAGTCCTTAACCTGACATACCACTGTAGTTGGAAGGAGACCTCCCAGTGGTAGACCAGTCCATTCCCTGCAATGCAGGAATCTCAGCTAAAGCATCCATGGCAGATGGCCACCCAACCTCTGCTTAAAAACTTCCAAGGAAGGAGAGTCTACAACCTCCCGAGGGAGACCGTTCCACTGTTGAAGAGCTCTTACGATCAGAAAGTTCCTCCTGATTTTGAGTCAGAATCTCCTTTCTTGCAGCTTGAATCCATTTGTTTGGGAGCAGGAGGTCAGCACCAACACTTTGAATTGTGCTCAGAAACGTACTGGGAGCCAATGTAGGCCTTTCAAGACCGGTGTTATGTGGTCTCATGTAGACAATGCTGAGCAACATGGAGCAAAGGTCTCAGTGCATGCTGATTCCCTATGCTCTTGTTTAGTTTAACCCTTCACTGAGAACCATGAGGACTAGAATCCTCCTTTAATTTTAAGGAAAGGGCTGGAGCTCAGTGGAAGAACATGTGCTTTGGAATGCAGGAAGTCCCAAGTCTTCAGGTGCAGCTGGTGGAGACCCCTGTTCGAAATCCCAGAAAGTCACTGCCAGTCATTGAACTGTAGAGTTGGAAGGGATCCCAAGATTCATTTAGTCCAATGCAGGAATCTCAATTAAAGCCTCCATGACAGATGGCCGTCCAACCTCTGCTTTAAAATTTGCAAGGAAGGAGAGTCCACAACCTCCCAAGGGAAACGGTTCCACCATCCAACAGCCCTTTGAAAAATATTGGAAGTTAGAAATTCAGGAGCAGATTTTATATGAAGATTGGGAAAGAATCTTTCGGCAACCATCCTTTGTTGCGACCTCTCAGATAATCCAGGAACAGGGGTTGAAGTTGGTACAAAAATGATATTATACACCTGTAAGGTTATATCATATTACAAAATCTGGAAGTAAGAATTGTTGGAGGAAATGTGGAGTGATGGGAATGTACAGTCATATGTGGTGGGATTGTCCGTTAGTTAATGAATTTTGGAAACAGATTGGTATAGAAATATCAGGAATTGTGGGTAGGAAGGTGGGAATATCTAAATTAGTGGTTCTTATTAGTCTGAGTAGCACCGAGTTAAAAACAAAAGAGGAATGTAAATGGGTAAAATTGATGGTAACTGCAGCCAGACAGGTTATAGTGAGTAATTGGAAAAATGCAGAAGAGCTAGGGGTGAACCAATGGAGGAAAAAACATTCAGTTTTTTCAATATTATAATTTTAAAATATCTAACTGTGAAGATACACAGAATGAAAGGGTTTAAGATCAGTGAGAAAGAGGAGGATTGGTTTGAGAAGATTATTGAATTATTTAGGCAGGTTTGAACAATTTGGGGCAATTAAAATGTTAAAAGTTAAATAAACTTTGTGGATGGAGGAGTGTTAAGTTATACAGAAGTCTACATATGGTTGATTTGAATATGTTATTATTGATTATGTATACCCAATGTGTCAGCCGCCTGGGGGGTTTCACTGTTTGTGTTTGGTTGTTGGTAAAAAATAAAAAATTAAATACAGTGGTACCTCGGGTTAAGTACTTAATTCGTTCTGGAGGTCCATACTTAACCTGAAACTGTTCTTAACCTTAAGCACCACTTTAGCTAATGGGGCCTCCTGCTGCCGTCGCGCCGCCAGAGCATGATTTCTGTTCTTATCCTGAAGCAACGTTCTTAACCTGAGGCACTATTTCTGGGTTAGCGGAGTCTGTAACCTGAAGCGTATGTAACCCGAGGTACCGAGGTATCTTCCATGTGACTGCCCTTAAGATATTTGAAGATGGCTATCATATCTCCTCTCAGTCTCCTCTTTTCCAGGCTAAACGTACCCAGCTCCCTCAACTGTTCTTCACAAGGCTTGGCTTCCAGACCCTTGATCATCTTGGTTGCCCTCCTCTGCACATGTTCCAGCTTGTCGACATCCTTCTTAAATTGTGGTGCCCAGAACAGGACACAGTGTGTAAACAATACTGAGCTAGATGGATCAATGATCTGACTCACTATAAGACAACTTCCTCTGCTGCCACTTTTCCATCAGAGGCCTGTGGCACTCTCCTTTTCTTCCAGCTTTAAACGTCCATCATCCACAGCTCCATCACTCTGCAGTCTTCTGTCCTGCATATTGAACTAGGGGCTGGTGGGAATTGTAGTCCAAAATCTCTGGTGGGCACCAGTTTCTGCAAAATTCCGTTCCACCACAAAAGAGCTGCAGATGTTGCAAAGGCCCCCTACATTGAGCTAATGCCGATGGGATTTTTAAGATAACTAAAAATCGGTGTGAGAGGGAGAGAGGTTCCAGAACCAGCAGCTAACACAATATTATCTTCCCCAAAAACATTCTAATTTCTATTGATACTGATCAAAAGATATACAAAAGTTTATACCCAACACCAAGTATCTTTTTATAACACCACCAGAATAAAAGAAATGCTTTTAAAACCTAATCTAAAAGAAACAGGAGCAAAGAGATGGAAAAAGAAATCAAAAGAAAAGAGAGTGAGGAGAACAAGAAAAGAAAAATATGGAAAGGCTTCCAGTTCTCTGCCTGTCAGCTAAATATAGTAACTTATTCAAAGTATCCACTCAGATTGGACATCCTACTATTCTATTTTCTACAAGCCAATATTTTTCCATCTTCAAACCCAGATATTCTGAGCTCATTTTTCTTCTTCCATGCAACAAGTCCAGAAGAAGGTTTCCAATCCTTAATAAATGTCAGCAATGGTTTTTCCTCTGATTAAACACTTTAAATCAGCCACCACAATATTCTGAGGACACAACCACGTTATTGTCTGACGCGTTTCTGCCGCTAATTCCCAAAGCGTAGCTCTTTCCTCGCTTGTTGGGCCTGAGACTCCCACCCCATTTTGAAGTTTGACTCATGAGCTTGACGGGGCCAAAGGAGCAGTTCATCCGCAGGATAACCGGGCGGGGAAGCGACTGTCTGTCAAAATCTGAGTGGCATTCTCTGTCTCACCACTATATTCCGTTCAACTTTGGGGTGTGCCCGACCTCCACCCCTCAGCCAGCCAGGGCAAAGTCATGGCCGATGACAGCCATGCGATTCTTAGCAAAACTTTCCCATGCCTTGCAAGCCCTCGGACCCTTCGCTCACCCAAGATGACACTTTCAGGAAACGGGGTGGGTGTGGGCAGAGAGGGATTAGAGTTCGCGCAAAGTTTTAGCTCTGGCCCTTGTGACCCTGCAATGCTTAGGACCTTTTAAAAAGCAGGTTAAAGGGCACAGAGACCAGGGAGGGGGGAAGTGGGGAGAAATTCAATTCAGTTTGCATTCAAAGGCAAACTGACTTACAATCATACCTCGGGTTAAATACGCTTTGAGTTGAGTGTGTTCGAGTTGCGCTCTGCGGCAACCCAGAAGTAACGGAGCATGTTACTTCCGGGTTTCGCCACTTACGCATGCGCAGATGCTCAAAATGGCATCACGCGCATGCGCAGAAGCAGCGAAAAGCGACGTGCGCGTGCGCAGACATGCCGTAGCTAGATACGTTTACCTCTAGATGCGAACTGGGCTCCAGAATGGATCCCGTTCGTATCTAGAGGTACCACTGTAATTCGTACTTTCCACAGCAACTCATGAATCAAAATGCAGGCTGCTTTTGACATTCACGCTTCTGCAAAATTCGCAGCGCAGTTCTGCAGCCGAGTGATGTGTACAAGAAGGTATATACTAAGGTACAGGGGTATATGTTGCTGAAAAGGATATTCATTGGTACCTTGGTTCTCAAACTTAATCCATTCTGGAAGTCTGTTCCAAAACCAAAGCGTTCCAAAACCAAGACACGCTTTCCCATAGAAAGTAATGCAAAATGGATTGATCTGTTCCAGACCTTTAAAAACAACCCTAAAACAGCAATTTAACATGAATTTTACTCTCTAACGAGACCATTGATCCATAAAATGAAAGCAATAAACAATATACTGCAGTCACATCGATTAATCAGTAGCTAAACTGGGTTCCACACAGTCACAAAAACAAAACAAAAAAACCAAATTTCAAAATAAATAGCAAAGACAGACAGACCTCAGCATAACACTCAAATCGGAAGCATAACACTCAAAATGGAGCACATTCGGCTTCCGAAAAAAGTTCACAAACCAGAACACTTACATCGGTGTTTGCAGTGTTTGGGTTCCAAGTTGCTTGAGTACCAAAGCGTTTGAGAACCAAGTACCAGTACACACAAATGCATTACAGAAGGGCTATTTCCAAAGATTTGCAAAAGGTGCATCTATTAGGCAAGACCGAATACAAAAATGTGTATGTTGTGGGAAATTAGCAGTGAAAATGCTGGTTAATTTTCCAGCTGGCTTTAAAAGAAGAACCCATTTGGAAATGTGGAGGACTGGATTTAAGATTGGAAAAATGAGGAACTGAGAGGACAAACATTGATCGATTCGCTCATCACTATGCTGAGTGCCAGCAAATGTGATGTTTGTGGGGGGTGCATTTCCTTCCCTGCTCACTAATGGCAAGGAAACCCCATGGGAACAAAACCTAAGATGATCAGTGCTGGATCAAACCAAAGGTCCATCTAGCCGAGCATCAGTCAACCACTCCCTCAGTGTTGGGGCACTTGGCCAGTGGTGAGACCAGCAATTGGAGCGGGTTGGTCTAGATGACCCCCGGGATTCCCTCCAGATCTACAATTCCATGTTTCTGTAACTTTTGACTCCTCCTCTCCTTGAACTCTTTCCATCCCAGCTGGTCAAGAGAACAGCTGCTCTAGCTTTAAAGACTTGCACCCAGGTTTGCCGATTTCTTCCTCCCTCCCAATCTATTTTCCTTTTGTGTCATGTCTTTTGAGATAATCCCCATTTAAAGCCACCTATCATCGCATGCAGAGGCAGTGAGTTCTGCGGCTTAATGCTGAGCTGTGGAAAGAAGGGTTTCCCTTTGTCCTGATCTTTTCTTGTCAATCAAGTTTCCCAGGGATACTCTGCACTCTAGTTTTACGACGGAGAGGTCAAAAGCATTCTCCATCTTTTACAAACCTCTGTCCCATCCCTCTACCACCACCCCTCTTATTTGCTTTTGGGGTGGGTCAGAATTAAAGGGCCCCCAAACTTGTAGCTTTCCTTTGTAGAGGGTATATTACTCTAGGCACTAGAAGATCAATGCAGAACAGGTTGCGCCGACATAAAGATGTCTGTACTTTTGTAACCTGGGAAAATCTTTAATGAGAACAATTTTTTTAAAAAAAATCAGAACAGGTATTATGTGGCACCTCTACCGGTGCCAGTTCTATAGATTGAAGCAGACCAGAGAGGTAAAGCGATTGTGCAGGTAAAAAGGGTCTTTAATTGTTGCGGGATTTACACGCTAAGAGTAACACCTTGAACTCAGCCTGGCAGCAATTTGGCAGCCCTCTGAGTGCAGGTGTTCCATGCTGACAAGGCCTCACTCCTGTCAGCAATTGTACTGCAGCATTCTGCACGAACTGCAACTTCTGGGTCAAGCACGAAGGAAGGAAGCCCCACACAGAATGCATTGCAGTAATCTGAACATGAAGTAATTAATGCATGTGGTCTAAACCACAGAGCCTAGGACTTGCCGATCAGAAGGTCGGCGGTTCGAATCCCCACGACGGGGTGAGCTCCCGTTGCTCGGTCCCTGCTCCCGCCAACCTAGCAGTTCGAATGCACGTCAAAGTGCAAGTAGATAAATAGGTACCACTCCAGTGGGAAGGTAAATGGCATTTCCGTGCGCTGCTCTGGTTCGCCAGAAGCGGCTTAGTCATGCTGGCCACATGACCCGGAAGCTGTACGCCGGCTCCCTCGGCCAATAAAGGAAGATGAGCACCGCAACCCCAGAGTCGGCCACGACTGGACCTAATGGTCAGGGGTCACTTTACCTTTACTATAGCCAGGCCTTTGCAAATATAACGTTTCAACTGCATCATACAGATGTATCACTAGATGGCGATGGTGAGCTTTGACCAAATCACTATATTTTTCAAAACGATTCTTTAAAACAGCATTTTATGAGCGATTTTTTTTATACGTGTCTAGATCCCCTCCCCCGAACGGCCATAGCTGTCGAAACAATTGCAAGTTCCTCAGGACAGAGACCTGTCCAATAGGATACTGCCTTCCGCTAGGTCAAACCCTTCATCCATCAAGCTGCATATTGTCTACACGGACTGGCAGAGGCTCTCCAGGATTTCAGGCTTGGAATTGGCCTGCGAGTGCTCCAATTGGAGAACAGCCTTTACTAAAGGTGTCATGGGCTTTGAAGATGCTCAAACTCAGGACGAAAGGGGAAACGTACTAGGAGGAAGGCACGCTTGGCAAACTCTCACCATGATCAACTCCTGCCCGGAAACCAATGTCCCCACTGTGGAAGGACGTGTGGGTCCAGAATTGGCCTCCACAGAAGGCAATCTTACTCGGCTACGAGGGATCGCCAAAGAAGAAGATTCCTAGTCCTCAGAACTGAACCCAGGGGCTTCTGCATTCGAAGCAGCCGCTCTGCCTCTGAGCGACAGCCCTTCCCCTGACCCCAGCCTCGCCAACAGGTACTGCACCTTCTTCCCCTTGGAACTGAACCATCGGAGACAGCGCACAGCAAATATTTGTGCGGCTGCCACCCTCAAATGCACACTCTTTGGTTCCGCCAGAAGAGATTTCTGCTTGAATGGCATTCCCTCCCTGGATAAATTCCCTCTTGTGAGAGAGCTGGATGCTGGGAGCTCAGTGCTACAGCTTCTGTTTTTCATGCAGAAGGCCTCAAGTTCAACCCCAGACTTCTCCAGGGAGGGCTGAGAGACTTCCTCTCTAAAACCCTGGAGAGCTTCTGCCAGTCAGTGTAGACAGCCCTGAGTTAGATGGACCAGTGGCTGACTCAGCATATATCACAGGAAACTGCCGTATACAGAGCGTTCTCAAATTCACATGTCTTCTTTGGACTCCATCTCCACTGCCAGGCGTAGTACTATCATACAAGGTGTTTTGTTCTCAGTCTTATAGCCCCACCCCAACTCTCCTCCCCCCTTTAGCCACACCCATTAAGCTCTGCAGCCTCCCCTCCTTGGCCACACCCCCTTTTCTTAAAGAAGCAGGTGGAGTTGGCTATAATAAATAAGAGTGCCTCTGAGCGTGTGCAGAGAGAAACACCGCTGCAGACTTTCCACTTGGAATTAAGGATCAGGGATTCCTACGCAGTCCCAAAGCCTCACGTTTCATCCCTTGACACAGTCCAACAAAAACTCAACAACTTGAGATTGTAAAGTCTCAAGTGTGGCCCAGCTGTTAGCCCTGATAAATTGTATGCATCTGGAACAATACTTGCTCAGCATAACCACTGAACCTGTTCATTTCCATTCCAAAACACCGTGTTATTTTAAAAGCACAGCAGCAGCAGCAGCACCACCACCATAAAGCATATGTAGCATTTTGGAACAATGTTTCTGTTAAAATCAGACAAGTACCTGCAGTGCTGATATTCTGCCCCCTATGGAAAGCCTTTTGGTTTCACCCAGGTTTGTTTGTTTGTTTGGAGAATCTGATTCCGTGTCAGTCATCTGCTCAGTATTTTATCATCCAACGGTGTATTCATGATTTCAGTCTACACCGCCATGACTCTCCACCCCTTATGAGTTGGCAGCTTATAGATATTCTTATTGTAAATAAATAAATGCATCTCCCTCTCAATTTGTGCAGAAATATAATTCATCACTTCATATATAATTCACCACTTCAATTTGTGCAGAAATATAATTCATCACTTCATCACATTCCCTCTAATTGGCTGTTTGGCATTCCAGATTCATTCTGACTGGTAGTTCAGCATTCCAGATTCTGGCCCCATTCACATATTTAAAGCACGACGACTCCACGTTAAACAGTCACAGCTTTCTCCAAAGAATCCTGGGAGCTGTAGTATGTTAAGGGCGCTTAAACTTGCTAGGAGATTCCCTATTCCCCTCCCAGTGCTACAATTCCCAGAGTGGTTTAACAGCCAATCCCTCTTCCCAGGGAATCGTAGCTCTATGAGGGGACTAGGCAGTCTCCTAAGAACTTGCAGCACCCTTAAACTACATCTCCCAGAATTCTTTGGGGGAAGCCACGACTCTTTGATTTGGTATGAGACTGCTTTTAATGCTCCTTATTCAACATGCTCCAAATGCTAAGCGAGTTGTGAAATGAGATAAGTGCTCTTGAAATCAAGCGCCTCTAAAATTCCTCTTTGAGCTGCAGGTACAACAACAACCAAAACTTCTAAATATGCACCAGCGCCCATTTGTGGCCTGATCCATGCCAACCATTTTGACACGGATAGTCTCTTGAGTCTTGTTTGCTCAGTTTTGCAGGATTTGCATCCGCAGAACCAGTCACAGGGATGGTTCAGCAAGCATCTCGAGGGCACCACAAAAGCTTCTTTTCAAAGAGATCTGTGCCAACAAGGATTTCTTATTGATTCAGGCTCCAGCCTACTCCATCCCCTTTGGGTGGGTGAGCAGACAGCATGTCTAATCCACACACATGGAAATACAGTTTTTTAAATGAATGGTGTCACTGGTAAAATGTATTTGTGAGTAGGCTTTAAAATTGTTTGTAAGTCACTTGGAGACCTTTAGATGTCTAGTAAATAAAAAGGATTGCCTTTTAAGCTGTCCTTAAGACCAGTTCCAAGCAGATGGGGAACATGAAATTCTTGTTAACGTTAGCATACAAAATACGGTTCTGTGAGGCTGGCCAAAATGTTACATTGGTTTCATATGTTCATAAGGGGGTTCTTTTTTCTTTTCTCTTAAGTGCATTCACAAATTTCCAGATATGAAGCAACAGGGCAGATCCACACAATAAACTCAGTGCACATTTAAAGCACTGGACTTCCTCCAAGGAATCATAAGAACCGCCGTTTGGCAAGGGTGCTGGGAGCTATAGCTCGGTGAGGGGGCAACCTAAAGTTCCCTAGATTCTTCAGTAGGGGGGGAGGGAAATCATGTGCTTTGAATGTGTGCTGGGCGTGCATGGGAACTGTGGTCGGTTTGTTTTTTAACCTGAATGTGGATAGATCTATGCATTACATTTTGCACCCTCCTGAAACAGATCCCCATTAGCGATGGAATTGGTGGACTCAATACGCAAACGATTTCTCTTTTGGGAGGGAAGCAGCCAGCCCACCCTTCCGCCTTGCCACAGACTTTTGCACCCGTATATTCCAGCCACTTGGGGTGTCAATCCTGGGAGACTCACAGCAGCTGGGACGGTCACAAATCTATTACTTTGTTCAGCTACTGCTTTGCATATAGGAGATTCGATTCCGGGGGAAAGTAGTACAGCATCTGCTTTGCATGCAAATAAGTCCAAGGATCGACACCTGGCGCTGCCAGGTGGAGCTGGAAAAATACTCCCTTGCCCTAAACCCTGCAGAGCTGCTGCCGGTCCGTGCAGGGGATAATGGGAAAGGCGCACCGATGCCCCGACTCTAAGGCCGCTCCCTCTTGTCCCTTGATCCTTCCTAAACTGGAGATGCCAGGAACTGAACCTGGGACTTTTTGTAAGCCATCCACGAGCTGCCTCTTGCTCAGCTATGACGACCCTCGTGTGGGTAAATAATAAAGCCACGAGACAGAATTTACACTTAGCCGGCCACGATGGGTGCTGCGCGCGTGCAGGTTGAAGCTGCAAAGCGAGCCAAGACGCAACCACAAAGCGCAAACCGACATGTGGTGAAAAAGCTTGGCTGAATCTAAGAGTAATCCCCTTTCACCCCACTAGAGGGGGGACAGTCGTCAACCCACAAGAAATGCCGGCCACCCGTGTGGGGGGCTCAATCCCAGGAAAACATGCCAGGAAACAACTTTTAAAAAACACACACACACACGAGAAAGATCTACTTGCATGCAACCTGGAGCAGCCCGACGGTGCTAACTTTGTGGTTGTTTTTTTAAAGACAAGAAACGGATTTAAACCCCCCGCTCTGTAAAATCCAAGCTTGCTGCTTCTTTCTCAGATGGGGGAAATATATATATACTTTGCATTTTAGACTGATCCACACAAACACTCCTTGATCTCCCCTGCCTGCCCTTGCATCTGAAATAAGCGCAGTGCAAACAAAATTGCAAGGGGGAAAGCAGGGTTTTAAGACGTCCCCCCCCCCCCAAAAAAAAACAGCTGCAGAAAGAAGGCACTTAAGAGGGCGGCGCGGAAGAGGGAGAATTGCTCTGGCTGAAGTTGTTTAAAATCGCTCTCCGCGCCTTCCTTTCCCTCCTCCTTTGTTCGCAAAGTTCCTCTCTAATTCGCACCGAGATCCTATTTCGCTTTTCTGCATCCCTTCCCTTCCTTCTCACATCCGGCTCCCAACCTTATTCTTTCTGCATTTAAAGAAGGATTCGTAATTTCCCTAAAAATCTCTTCCTTCCCCCCTCCCCTCCCCCCCCATCCCAGCCTCCCACTCTCTCCAAGTTTTTTGGGGGCTACTCACCGGCTGGGGTTGTTAGCCACTGAGGGCTGGCTAGGTTCTTGTTCACAGGGCTGGCCGAGGCGGCGGAAAGCGCAGCTTGTTTTGAAGGGCTGCCCTTGGCCGCCGCCTCCTTCTGGAGCAATTGGTGATGTCAGAATCCGAGCTGGGTGTGGAAAAGGGGGAGAGGGGAAGAAAAGGATTTTTTTTTTTTTCAAATGTGCCAATCAATCTCTCTCTTCACTCTCTGCAGAGCGGCGGGAGAAAGAGATTTAAACAGGAAAGCCCCAGATCTGCAAATTTCACCCAACACCCACCACCACTCCCAAATGTTTAGGGTACGTTCCCATAACTGGGGAAACTGGGAGAGGGGCATTTGTTTGTTTCCTGCCCCATCATTGGAATAAACTGTCTTCCAGATGTTCTCCCTTGCCTTGTGAATTTATGGCTGCAAATATGGTGTTCCTTCCAAGAGTTGGGCTGCTTTGCCCCGTCTCTGAAGTTTTAGAATTTTCATTCTCCGTAAGGTTTTTCTAACTTGGCTGAGCTTTTTCCTTAAAAACCAGGGGACATTCTGCGTTTTGCTGAGCTGAATCAAAAGTGTCTTCTCTCCGGTCCTCCCTCAAATTGTACTTAATCACATTTTTAAAAAAAAATATTTTAAAGGTGTTGGCTTCAAACTACATTTTTAAAATACAACAAAATACAGCAAAAAAAACCCCGCCCCACCCTAAATTACTTTAATTTTTGAATTTTGCATACGCAACAAACCTGTTCCACCTCCCAAGCAACTGAGATCACTTCAAATTGGATTTCATTCAGTGAAATCTTTCTTTTAAAAAAAAACTAAAGCCAAGAATCTCTTGCATGCAAGTTGGAAACATGTGTGGTGTCTGTTGAAAAGGATGGTGGATAATTAACAGTTATTTTCTTAATGGGCACTGATGACTAAGGCTTTTTCCTCAATGGTTTTTGATGGCTGCTGGCAACTAGTAGTACTATTTCGTACTTATTTATTGCATTTATGCCCCCACCTTTTCCTGCAAGAAGTTCAAGGTGCGGTTCTCCCCCTCCTCATTTAATCCCCACAAAAACAACCCTGTGAGGTAGACTCAGCTGAGAGACAGTGAGTGGTCCAAAGCAACCCAGAGTTTCACTTTTTAACCCATTCTTTTTTAAAGTACAAAAATAATAATTCTGATGTCCTTCTTGTATATTAATTTTTAAAATACATACTCTATTTTGTTTATATTGATAAGGCTTTGGGGTCGACAATGACTTTATTTGTTCATCAAGGGGTCTGTGAAGTCAAGGTGTTTGAGAAACTGTGCCCTGTGCCTTTATTATCCTATCTTTGGTCTCCTGTTTAACCTGCACCTATCAGATTCATGGAAGTGTAAAGATGGAAGGGAACCCAGTGGTCATCTAGACCAACCCCCTGAAAATGCAGGAATCTCTCTACTCTAGCATCCAAACCTGTTTTTCTAGACTGTAATGTGCTCAGGGCAGGGACTTGTACCTCACAGTGCACGTGCTGCGACGACAATCCATTTTGTTTCTCTTTATTTCCTTCATAAAATTTATATATCGCTCGATTATTCAAGGGAAAACCCTCAAGGCGATTTGCAAAGGGAATAAAGCAGTAACATTATAGGTATTATCTCAGAACTCAAACGTAATCCGTTCCAGAAGACCGTTCAACTTCCGAAACGTTCGAGTTCCGAGGCGTGGCTTCCAATTGGCCGACAGCTAGGTTTCTGCACAGCGGAAGCCCGTGTGGGACATTTGTTTTCCGGGGAATGTTCAAAAACCGGAGCAGTTACTTCCAGGTTTTTGGCATTCGAGAGCCAAAATATTCGAGAATGGAGCCATTTGAGTTCCGAGATACCACTGTGCAGTGGTACCTCAGGTTCAGAAGTTAATTTGTTCCAGAGGTTCGTTCTGAACCTGAAACTGTTCTTAACCTGAAGCACCACTTTAGCTAATGGGGCCCCCCGCTGCCACCGCTGTGCGATTTCTGTTCTCATCCTGAAGCAAAGTTCTTAACCTGAGGTACTATTTCTGGGTTAGCGGAGTCTGTAACCTGAAGCATCTGTAACCTGAAGTGTCTGTAACCCGAGGTACCACTGTATCAGTAGAAACAGTCAAAAGCAACTACAGTGGTACCTCGGGTTACATTTATCTTAATAAATGTCATCACACAGGAAATAGGGAGTAGCAGCATCTCTTCAGAACAAACTGCCGATTTTGCCAACTTAACAAGTCAGCTTAGCTGCAAACAGCTGACTTGCTGGCTGGAAGGAGCTCAAACTAAGTGAATTACAGTTGAGGGACATCCATGCTCTGTCCAAGGCGTCTTTGCTTGAGAACAGTGAGAGGTTTGTGCTTTGAGAGGGACATGTTCTCTGGCTCCCAGCCAGGCGCTATAGCTGAAGGGGAGACATAAAATCAATCAGCCAACCAGCGCCAAAGCCAGCTGCTATTGAAATGTAAAAGCATGTAAGGCAGGGGTCAGCAACCTTTTTCAGCCGTGGGCCGGTCCGCTGTCCCTTAGACCATGTGGTGGACTATATTTTGAAAAAAATATATGAATGAATTCCTATGCCCCACAAATAACCCAGAGATGCATTTTAAATACAGCGGTACCTCGGGTTAAGTACTTAATTCGTTCCAGAGGTCCGTTCTTAACCTGAAACTGTTCTTAACCTGAAGACTTTAGCTAATGGAGCCTTCTGCTGCTGCCGCGCTGCTGAAGCACGATTTCTGTTCTCATCCTGAAGCAAAGTTCTTAACCCGAGGTACTATTTCTGGGTTAGCGGAGTCTGTAACCTGAAGTGTCTGTAACTTGAAGCATCTGTAACCCGAGGTACCACTGTAAAAGGACACATTCTACTCATGTAAAAACACACTGATTCCTGGACTGTCTGTGGGCCGGATTTAGAAGGTGATTGGGCCGCATCCAGCCCACGGGCCTTAGGTTGCCTACCCCTGATTTAAGGGGAAGAGGCTGATATCAACCGGAAAAACCCAGCACATCCCCATCATTCGTAAGTCTTCATAGGTTGGCTGCATTTTTATCCCATTCTCACTCCAAGGAAACTAGGTGATATTTATAAGGATCCTCCACCTTTTCTCATTTACTCTCATGACAAAACTGTGAGGTAGGCTATGCTAGCCCAAAGCCCCTTAATTCCAGATCGGCTTGCCAGGTCAGGAGCATCCCAGACCCTGAGGTTTTCAGCGCCCACACCTGAGACCTAGGAGCAAGACATCTGGTGATGTCATGGAGGGGAGGCCCCTGGTGATGTCATGGGAACAGCCCCTGGAGATGGAGGTTAATTGGGAGAGGGAAGGGGAGGAAGGCAGATCTTCCCAGAGTGTCTCTGCTAGAATTTGCAGCCGGCTTCTGCCAGGCTGAAGCTTGCAGACTTCTTAATCTCTTTATGAAAGGCACTCTTGCCCACCTGAAGAGGCAAGCCCTCTGCCTGCCACCTAGAGGAGGCCCGGTAAACCTGGAGACTTCAGGTCAGGTGTGGCAGTCTGTCAAGGAGACCAAAAGGTCCAGGCCCAAAAGTAGCCTGTGTCTAAGGACCCCAAATCCTCAAACACCTCATCAGGAGGGTTCCTCGTGAGCAAGTAAGCCTTGCAACTTCCTTCAGCTGTGGTTCAGGTGTGGTCTAGGAGGCCTGAATATAGAAGGTCTTCCTCCTGAGTCTTCTCATTCCTGAAAGCAGTACAGTGGTACCTCGGGTTAAGTACTTAATTCGTTCCGGAGGTCCGTTCTTAACCTGAAACTGTTCTTAACCTGAAGCACCACTTTAGCTAATGGGGCCTCCTGCTGCTGCTGCTGCACCGCCGGAGCACGATTTCTGTTCTCATCCTGAAGCAAAGTTCTTAACCTGAAGCACTATTTCTGGGTTAGAGGAGTCTGTAACCTGAAGCGTATGTAACCTGAGGTACCATTGTACGAGCTTCTGGCTCATTGTTTCCAAACTTAGTCTTGTTCACTTGCTACCTGGGCTGCCTGTGGGGTTGAACTTGCCTCTGGGGCTGGTTTTGGCGCCTCAGCCGATTCCCTGGGCTTGAACCTGGCTTGCTTGCACTGCCCTCCACCTTTAACTCTGCTCTCCTCAATGAGTGTTTTGGTAAGAGGCTGAGGCTTCCAGCGATTGGCTCCCTCTATCGCCTGAGGGCACCAAGTGGAACATGACACCCAAGTCAGTTCTACCAAGGGGGGCCAGGCTTGTGGATTGCCTACACAAAGGGAAAGCATTGCCAAAACAAAAGGACAAGTTTGCTTAACATTTGCACATGCTAATTTAAGTGCATAGGCACACATTTCGGAATAACGGCAGTAGGCTGGAGATTTCATTCCGTGAACAGGCTATGAGGACCCTTTTATACCTTTGAAATGTTGCTGAACTCAGTGGATGGCATATCTAAGGGGCTGGTAGCCAGGATGTATAGCTTGCGTGTCACAGCCAGTGCCAGATTTATGTATAAGCTAAACAAGCTATAGTTTAAGGCCACAGTCTCTTGGGGGCCCAAAAAAAATTTAAAGGGGAAAAGAAACTGGATACTTCTTCTTAATTGTCCATAAATTATCATCTAGCATATATTCAACACAAAAAACAGCAACAATTTGTTGTTGACAAAGGACAGCTGGACATATAAAGGGCCCCATTACCTTCAGTAGCTTAGGGCCTCATCAAACCTAAATCCGGCCCTGGCCACAGCTGATATAGAGACGGCAGAAAAATAGGTGGCCATTTGGGAACAAATTATTGGAATTGTGATCATCGTCATCTAACATAAGTTTTGTGGAAGCAAATTGGGATGAATGCTCAACAAATGTGTCAAACAAAAGAGTGCAATCTTCCTTCCTTCCTTCCTTCCTTCCTTCCTTCCTTCCTTCCTTCCTGTGTCTGATATAACTGTCACTGTCGTGGGACACTGGTGGTGCTGTGGTCTAAACCACAGAGCCTAGGGCTTGCTGATCAGAAGGTCGGCGGTTTGAATCCCCGTGACGGGGTGAACTCCCGTTGCTCAGTCCCTGCTCCTGCCAACCTAGCAGTTCAAAAGCACATCCAAGTGCAAGTAGATAAATAGGTACCGCTCCAGCGGGAAGGTAAATGGCGTTTCCGTGCGCTGCTCTGGTTCGCCAGAAGTGGCTTAGTCATGCTGGCCACATGACCTAGAAGCTGTACACCGGCTCCCTCGGCCAATAAAATGAGATGAGCGCCACAACCCCAGAGTCGGTCACGACCGGACCTAATGGACTGGACCTTTACCTTTAGAAGGAGATTTGCTGCCTAGGCTTTCAAATCTCCTTTCCTCTCCATCTCATAGGGGGATTCCAGCTAAACATTAGGAAAACCTTTCTGATGGTAAGAGGCGCTCGGAACGATTTCCCTCGGAAGCTGGTGGACTCTCCTTCCCTGGAGGTTTTTGAGCAGCGTTTGGATCGCCATCTTCCAGGGATCCCTTAGCCATGGTTCCTGCATTGAGGGGCTTGGACTAGATGACCTTTGGGGGTCCCTTCCAACTCTACACTTCTACGATTCGATGAAACTGGGGAGACAACCGTAAAGATAAACGAATGCAACCTATGACTGTCAAACCCAAAGCCTTTGGTGATGCGTAATAACAGTGGAGAGTGCAGGCTTTGGTATGAGAACAGGGGCGTTCACAGGGCGTCCCTCGCAGAAGCCACAGGACAGGCTGCGCAGTCAGGGCCGCAGAATGTGGAAGCCGGAAATCATCCTTGACATGTCGAGAGCACACGGCAGCTTAGAGAGCCCCCACCCTGTTCCCTGACTGATGCCACTCGCAAGGCATGGGGAAGTGCCAAACGGGGTGATATCATACTACAAGGCTGTCCTGTTTTTGTTGTTTGACTAGATGGTTGCATGGGAGACGTGAGTTGGGAGCAACTACAGGGGTGCAACCCCCTCCATCCTGTCCTTTAAGCCCCTGGGTCACAGCTGCAGTGTTAGCTCTTGTTCTTTTCTCCAGAAGTGGTCCAGCACCACAGTCAAGCATGAGCTTTGCAAGCAAAACGTCCTTGGTTCATTCTTGTGTGGTATCTCTAAGTTAGATACAGAGAGAGAGAGAGAGAGAGAGAGAGAGAGAGAGAGAGAGAGGCTCCCAGCCTCTGCCAATTAGTGTAGACCAGGGGGTCACCAACCTAAGACCCATGGGCTGGAAGCAGCCCGCAGAGGTCATTTGACCGGCCCACAAGCCGTCCCCAAACTGAGCCACCCACTAACGCGCTGCACTAAACCAACGCAGCGCAGTGTGGGGACTCGCTTCCGCAGCACCGGAAATCGCGTCTACGCAGACGCCGAAAATTGCGGGCAGGCACGCAATCCGGCCCATGGAGGGTTCTCCACGGGACCGATCCGACCCAGGCAAGATAAACCTTGCTGACACCTGGTATAAGTGATACAGTGGTACCTCGGGTTACATACACTTCAGGTTACATACGCTTCAGGTTACAGACTCCGCTAAGGAGGAGGAGTTTGGATTTGATATCCCGCCTTTCACTCCCTTTAAGGAGTCTCAAAGCGACTAGCATTCTCCTTTCCCTTCCTCCCCCACAACAAACACTCTGTGAGGTGAGTGGGGCTGAGAGACTTCAAAGAAGTGTGACCAGCCCAAGGTCACCCAGCAGCTGCATGTGGAGGAGCGGAGACGCGAACCCAGTTCCCCAGATTAGGAGACTACCACTCTTAACCACTACACCACACTGGCTAACCCAGAAATAGTGCTTCAGGTTAAGAACTTTGCTTCAGGATGAGAACAGAAATCGTGCTCCGGCAGCGCAGCAGCAGCAGGAGGCCCCATTAGCTAAAGTGGTGCTTCAGGTTAAGAACAGACCTCCAGAACAAATTAAGTACTTAATCCGAGGTACCACTGTACTAAGCTCAGCAGACCCCATGGTCTGACTATGCGTAAGGCAACTCCCTCTGTTCCTCAAATGCTCTTTCCGTGCTAACGTTGCAAGCGATTTGTAAGCCCCAGCGAAGACTCCCGCCGGGAACTGCCAAGATAAGCTGGAGAGTTACCTCTGGAAATGTTATTAGCGGACCAGACGGAGCCGAGTTGCCAGAACCATGACCTCATTCCTGAGGCATGCAGCTCTGATTTTGGAGGTCCCTACAAGTCGCTGAGCTGGATCGCAATCCATTTGCTAGATGTTTGCTAATAATCACCATTGCACCT